AACTTGAAAAATTTAAAAGCTTGCGTCTGACTGATCCTGTAAATTTACTATGATATTTAATAGCCTAATAAGCAGTACAATTTATTCTACAAGATAATTACTAATGAGTATTTATTAATAAATTAATTAGCATAGCTTAAAATAGTATATAAAGGTATATGTTAGAAGTCATCTATTAATTCCAAGCTTCTATTAAACCATGCATAAATATTAATAATGCAATAAAACTAATGTACAAATGTTAGGATGAAGCTTATAACTCGGAGTTATCGATGAAGAAATAGGTACCGGCTAATTTTTGTTCTTTATCCATTTGGGAATCCAATTTGTTAATTCTTGGTCTGTAAGAATTTGGATCTCTTCTAAATGTAACATTTAAGTTCTTCAAGAATCTATTACAACCAGTTAATAAAGATTCAGGAGCCTTAGCTAAAGCATCCTTCGAAGGTTTACCTTCGAAGACAATAACTCTGTCAGCCAAATAGGTAGCCATAATGAAATCGTGCTCAACAATGAATGCTGTCTTTTTGGAATGAAGGATAAATCTTCTGATAACCTTAGAACAGATAATACGTTGTTCAGAATCTAAGTAAGCGGAAGGTTCATCAATTAAGTAAATATCCGCTGGCATACCCAAGGATAACACAATAGCAACTCTTTGCAATTCACCACCAGATAAGGTTTGGACTTCTTGATCAATAATGTCATCAATCTTTAATGGTTTAACAACATCGGTTTGGAATTGTGGGTGTAAGAATGATGCTCTGATCTTCTTGAAAAATAATTGTCTGACAGTACCTGGGAATTTTGGAGCAATCTTTTGTGGTTTCATAGACACATTCAACTTAGGAATTTGTAAGCCATTGTCTGGTTTTATAGCACCGGCTAATAACTTACAGAAAGTAGTCTTACCAGTACCGTTTTCACCCATCATGACTAAAATTTCAGAATTGGTGAATTCACCACTTTCAACCCTCAAGTGGAAATCACCTTGAGTCTTTTCCATACTTGGATATGATAACGCGTTTGATTTATCTAATTCTAAACCTTCAGCAGCATCAGCCAATTTAAATTGCAAGGATTCAGTTCTGAATCTCATGTTTTCAGTTGGAATATGACCATCAAGGAAAATATTAATACCTTCTCTAACAGATGATGGTAAAGTCACAACACCGTACACCGATGGAACACCATAAAGAATACAGACGAAATCAGATAAATAATCCAAAACAGACAAATCGTGCTCAACACAGATAACGTAACAAGTTGGATGTAATAAAGATCTGATGATTTCAGCAGCTCTCAATCTTTGCTTGACATCCAAATATGAGGAAGGTTCATCGAACATGTAAACGTTGGCCTCTTGAACACAAGTCATACCAAGAGCAAATCTTTGCAATTCACCACCAGATAAATTGGCCACATCTCTATCTAAAACACCTCTCAATTCCAAAATGTTAAGAATGTAGTCCCATTGGTCTTTTCTTTCTAACTTGGCTTGTAAAATACCTTCGACATGCTTGACCTTAGATTTAACTAAAGCTCTTGGAATATTATCCACATATTGTGGTTTAATGATAGCCTTAATGTCATCTTCTAAAACCTTGGTAAAATAATTTTGCAATTCAGACCCTCTGAAATGCTTCAAAATCACTTCCCAGTCAGGAGGATCGTCATATTTTCCCAAGTTTGGCTTTTGTTTACCAGCCAAAATCTTCAAGGCAGTAGACTTACCAATACCGTTAGTACCAACCAACCCAAGAACTTGTCCTGGTCTTGGAGTTGGTAATCTGTGCAACTTGAACGAATTGGCCGAGTATCTGTGGGTGGTTTCTGCCTCTAAGTTGGTAGGCAAATTGATAATATTAATAGCATCGAATGGACACTTCTTCACACAAATACCACAACCAATACATAAATTTTCTGATATAAACGCAATCTTTGAAGTTGGTGTAACTTCAATACATAATTTTCCTGTCTTCACGACTGGACATGCTTTACGACATTCCTGTTTACATTTTTTTGGTTTACACCTATCCGTGGAAACAATCGCAATTCTAGTATTCTTATCACTCATCTTAAATCCTTGTTTCTTGTAATATGTAGATGTTTACTAAGTCTTAATATTCAGTTTTTCAAATTTTTTTCAATGAGAGTAAATTGAAAAAAAAAAAAGTTCCACAAAGCCGCTGATTTTGTTAGTGACGTAATATACGCGGCTCGGTAGAATTTCAGTGCAAATCCTCCATTTCCTCTAAGTAAATATAGGTACATTACTAAACTCGCGCATTCTATTGGTCGAATCCACATACAGCTGGAATCGCTACCAGGATAGCACCAAAAAACTGATTCTTTTCTAGAGACCTACTTCTTGATCCTCGTACACCTGTGGGAATGACTAGGTCACTATACACATTACACGTAGAGATTGATAACACACGTATTATATCCGGGTAAGAGACCAATACAAAAGTCGTGCAACGGTAAAAACGAGGACGAAATCTCGATCAATCAGACTCGCCCTTGTTGAAGAAATTAATTATTCTCTATAATACTGCATTTTTAAGTAAACAATTGGAAAAAATTCGGTTTTACATCTAAGTAATACATTGCTTATCAAGAGAAAAGCTACGGAATAAGTAAAGATGGCTTAGTACGAGAAGGATTTGGCTAAACCATATTTAAGGACGCGCTAAACATTGGATGAAAAATAGCCGCTGACTCAAGGTGGTCGTGAGACCCATATTGGAAGATCCTGGGGTTAACTTTCGTATTTATGCAATTGGCGTATTGTATTTGAATTTTTGAAACACGGTTCATTACAATACATTGCCTTTAAGAGGTGCCTGGAGTTTTCTTGATGGGAAGGGCCTAATTGCATAGTTTTGGACCAAGGATTTTGGCGGAATATAAGGGACAGTATTTCACAAGCACGCCGCAAATGATGGTGGGATTGTAAATCGTGTTGCTAATCATCCGAAGATGGTCCGTGGGTCCGCAGGGGGACCAGCAAACAAACTGGAGATAGTATCGAGCTAGTCCTAAAGCTTGTATCGGATATTGAAAAGGACGATTGGCTGCAAATGTCTAGATACAAACGGATTCTGGGATAATTTTCAATAGACGAAAAGGCTGAAGTGACATAGACGCTTTCACATGGAGACTCAAAGTGTCCAGTTGTGATGTTTATTTTAGGGATAACATGGATAATGTTTTCCAGATGTATAGAATAATTTAGAGATACTGAATAAACGACTATATATTGGTCAGAATGATATATAGTAGACGAAGTGTAGGAAAATGCAATTTTAAGCCCAATGAAAGGCGTACTAATTATTGAGTCTACGGTAGAAATTAATTTTTTAATCGTCGTCGTCGGCGGTTCTCCCGCAAAATTGATTTTATATTAATCTTTTCTTCGTCAAGGCTGCACAATTTTTAAACTATATTAAAGGTAGTTATTGTATCTTGGGAAGATTTGAGTTGATCCAGAAGCAACAAATTTAATAGTTCGGTAAACTGTATTGACGTTAAGAGTGGTACTAATTTGCAAAAAAGAGCAGAATTGGTGGGTACTTGATTTCACACAGAATTTGTAGATAACGAATACTACGAAGAGATAGGATCCTTATAAGTAATAACCTGACATCAGATTAGATCAATCGAATATAATAGAACATTATATTGGCCTTTCATTTTGCATTTGAAGAATTTCCCGGTGTATTTTAATTTTTCACTATTTGCATAATTTATAAAAGATGGTCAAACCTTTAATTCCAGAAGATGCTTCGCTCAACCCAGAACTATATGGATTGAGACGATCACACAGAGAGAGACGTGGACCGGCCATAGTAGAAAGTGATATCAGCGACGAAGAAGATATTTCTGACAAGCCTTCACGTAAGAAGAAGTCTGCCTATAACGATGAAGATGGATTTGAAGATGGATTTGATGAAGAAGACGATGAAGATGAAGATGACGATGAAGACGATGAGTTTCTTGTTAGTACGAAAAAGAGAAAGTCTAATGGTAAGACATCAAAGTCTACAAAGAAGAGGAGTAATACCCCATCTATGGCAGAAATAAGGTTCTCCTCAAGAAACAGTAAACAAGTCAATTATACCGTCGATTATGACGATGATGATGCTGATTTACTTGAGAGCGAACCAGAATTTGATCACGACGAAGAAGATGACGAAGCTAACGGTGACTATTATTATTATCAACAGGCAGCTGAAGCTGAAGACGAAAGAGGAATAGATCAGGTTATGGATCACAAAATAAATGAAGATAATGCCGAATTAACCAATGAACCCAAATTAGATTATTTATTTAAAATTAAATGGTCTGATGCATCTCATTTACATAATACATGGGAATCATGGTCCAACTTGAAGGATTTCAAAGGATTTAGAAAGCTTGATAACTACATCAAGCAATTTATAATTATGGATCAAGAAATTCGTAATGATCCGTTAACAACAAAGGAAGATATAGAGGCTATGGATATTGATCTTGAAAGAAGACGTGACGAACAAGATGAATATACTCAAGTGGAGAGAATTGTCGACAGTGAAAGAGTCGAAATAGATGGCGAGAGCCAATTACAATATTATTGTAAATGGAAGAGACTTTATTATGACGAATGTTCATGGGAGAATGCTGAGGAGATTGCTAAAATTGCTCCTGAACAAGTAACAAAGTATCAACAGAGATTGAAATCAAAGATCTTGCCTAATTTATCTGCAAACTATCCCTTAAACCAAAGACCTAGATTTGAAAAATTGGTAAAGCAACCTTTATTTATTAAAAATGGTGAATTAAGAGATTTCCAATTGACAGGTTTGAATTGGATGGCGTTCTTGTGGTCAAGAAATGAAAATGGTATCTTAGCAGATGAAATGGGGTTAGGTAAAACTGTTCAAACAGTTTCATTTTTATCCTGGTTAATTTATGCCAGAAGACAAAATGGACCTCATTTAGTTGTTGTTCCGTTATCGACAATCCCCGCATGGCAAGAAACGTTTGAAAAATGGTCCCCTGATGTCAACTGTATTTATTACTTAGGTAATACTGAATCAAGACGAAATTTGAGAAATTACGAATTTTACCAAGGTAATAACAAACCAAAATTTAACATTTTGTTGACTACATACGAATACATCTTGAAGGACAGAAATGAATTGGGAGCAATCAAATGGCAATTTTTGGCTGTTGATGAAGCCCATAGATTGAAAAACGCTGAATCTTCTTTGTATGAGTCGTTAAAGCTGTTCAAAGTTACAAATAGACTTTTAATTACTGGTACACCTTTGCAAAATAATATCAAAGAATTGGCGGCCTTATGTAACTTTTTGATGCCGGGAAAATTCAATATCGAACAAGAGATTGATTTTGAATTTCCTGACGATCAACAAGAACAATACATTAAGGATTTGCAGAAGAAAATTCAACCTTTTATTTTGAGAAGATTGAAGAAGGATGTGGAGAAATCCCTTCCATCGAAGACTGAAAGAATTTTGAGAGTTGAATTGTCTGATTTGCAAACCGATTACTACAAAAATATCATCACTAAGAATTACTCAGCGTTAAATGCTGGTAACAAAGGGTCACAAATTTCATTGTTAAATGTCATGAGTGAATTGAAAAAAGCATCTAACCATCCATACTTATTTGATGGGGCAGAAGAAAGGGCATTGGCGAAGGCAAACTCAAATACAAGAGATAATGTTCTTCGTGGTATTATTATGTCATCTGGTAAGATGGTATTACTTGAGCAGTTGTTAACCAGATTGAAAAAAGAAGGCCATAGAGTTTTGATTTTCAGTCAAATGGTTAGGATGCTTGATATTTTGGGTGATTATTTATCTATAAAGGGTTATCAATTTCAAAGATTAGATGGTGGGATACCTTCTTCACAGAGAAGAATATCTATTGATCACTTCAATGCTCCTGAGTCAAAGGATTTCGTTTTCCTCTTATCCACAAGAGCTGGTGGGTTAGGTATCAATTTGATGACAGCTGATACTGTCATTATCTTCGATTCTGATTGGAATCCACAAGCTGATTTACAAGCAATGGCAAGAGCTCACAGAATCGGTCAAAAGAATCATGTTTCTGTGTATCGATTTGTTAGTAAAGATACCGTCGAAGAAGAAATTTTAGAAAGGGCAAGGAAGAAGATGATTTTAGAATACGCAATTATTTCATTAGGTATTACAGACCCAAGCTCGAAAAGGAGTAAAACTGAACCATCAGCTAATGAATTAACTCAAATCTTGAAGTTCGGTGCTGGTAATATGTTTAGAGAAAATGATAACCAAAAGAAATTAGAAGACTTGAATTTGGATGAAGTTTTGAATCATGCAGAAGACCATGTTACAACACCTGATTTAGGTGAATCTAACTTAGGTTCTGAAGAATTTTTGAAACAGTTCGAGGTTACAGACTATAAAGCAGACATAGAATGGGATGATATTATCCCTCAAGAAGAATTATCTAAATTAAAGGAAGATGAGAAAAAGAAGGCTGACGATGAGTTTCTTCAGGAACAAATTTCCATGTATTCTAGAAGAAAGGCAGCAGTTAGAAGATTACAAGATGGGTCCGAGAATGTTAGTGAAGACGATGTGGCTGATTCAGATAACCAAAGAAAAGCTAGAAAACGGAATGATGAAAACTACCAATTGTCTGAGAAGGAAATTAGAGGTATTTATAGGTCTATCTTGAAACTCGGAGACTTAACAGGAAAGTGGGAACAATTAGTAGAAGACGGTAGTATTTCTAATAAGAACCCAGTGTTAATAAAACATGCATATAATGAGATCATTAACATATCTAAACAATTGGTGAAAGAAGAAGAGGCAAGAAGAACAAAGGTGTTAGCCGAATTAGAGAGAAAGGCTATGGAACTGAAGGACAAGAATGTTGTGACTGTCGATGGATCCAGTCCGATGGCTTTGTGGGTTGCTAAGAAGAAAGAAAAGAGAGCTGTGCTATTCGAATACCAAGGAGTTAAAAATATTAATGCCGAATTAGTTTTGGCTAGGCCTCAGGATATGAAGCTACTCGAAAGTTTGATACCAAAGGAGAACCCAACTAATTTTGAAATTCCAAAGCCACCCAAACAAGTATCATCCTGGAACTGTGAATGGAGCACAAAGGATGATTCCATGCTATTGGTCGGTGTCTACAAATTTGGTTATGGATCGTGGGTACAGATCAGAGATGATCCGGTATTGGGATTGCAGAATAAGTTGTTCCTCGAAAGCGCTAACAGTAAGGAAAGCAAAGATGATAAGTCGAGCAAGAGGGTTCCCGGTGCAGTTCATCTCGGTAGAAGAGTGGATTACTTATTCACACTCTTGAAGGAAGGAGATGAAATTCCCAACGGAAACGCATCCAACAACACCACTACCAAGAAGAAGGTCAGAAGGGTCAAAAATGAAACCCCCACCCCCGCAGTCAAAAAGAAGCCTTCGAAGTCTCAATCTCCAGAGGTCAACAAGAAGCCAAAACACAAGAAATTATTGCCAAAGGACTCCCCAGCATCTTCTTCCGCAAACTCTCCAAAAGACCCTAATGGCCATGCTCACCCCCACGTGAAGGAAGAACCACACATCGAAAACGACTTGGAATACGGAAGTATGGATGAAGCCGAATGCAAAAACACATTGAAACCCGTTTCCAAATCTCTTATGAGATTACACAAGGGAAATAAGGGTTTCGAGAAAGCCGAATGGGCCAATATCTTGAGAAAAGAGTTGTTGACTATTGGTGATTTCATAGACCAGACTACTGGCTCCAAGGATGCCAAGGATGATAACCTGGACAAGTTGAAGAAACATTTATGGTCTTACGCAAGTCTTTACTGGCCTGCAAAAGTACCAAGTAAAAAGATCAATGATATGTATAATAGAGTTAAGGTCCAAGTAAGAGCCCCTAAAAAACCTAAGAACTCTTAGCACCTGTACGCTTCATATTGATATTTAATTATTGTATAATTATAATATGTATTTGATAGTAACCTATTGTAGTGTAGCTGATCCCGTATATTCAACCGGGTAACTTCATCATAGAAAATGAAATCAAAAAATCTAAAAAAAAAAAAAATCTTTTTGTGTAATTAATTTTGAAACCACAAAAATTTTCCATCTCAAGATAGAAGAGAAAAGATTTCAGAGTTCCTTGTCAAAGTAAATTATCAAGAGGTTTAACAAAGACGATAGTCATAACTATATATCTTTTAAATCTAATTTACCCATTTCTTTATTTATTTTCATAATAAATTGAAATACCAATTCTTTTAATAAAAAAAAAAGTAAAAAAAAAAAATGTCTGCCGCCGAAGCTAACCAAGTTCAAGAATCATTGGAAAAGTTGAATCTTGATTCTGCTCCAGTTGAATCCACTGAGGAAACACAACAAGCTGCTAGTGGTGAAACCGAAGAAACTACTGACTCTGCTCAAGTTTCCGACACTTCTGCTTCCTTATACGTTGGGGAATTGAATCCATCAGTTAACGAAGCATTATTATTCGAAATCTTCTCCCCAATCGGACAAGTTGCCTCCATTAGAGTTTGTCGTGATGCTGTTACCAAGAAATCATTAGGTTACGCTTACGTCAACTTCCACAAGTTTGAAGATGGAGAAAAGGCCATCGAAGACTTAAACTATTCTCTTATCGAAGGCCGTCCATGTCGTATTATGTGGTCACAAAGAGACCCATCCTTAAGAAGAAACGGTGACGGTAACATTTTCATCAAGAACTTACATCCAGCTATCGACAACAAGGCTTTACACGATACCTTCACTGCCTTCGGTAAGATTTTATCCTGTAAGGTTGCCACTGACGACATGGGTATTTCCAAATGTTTCGGTTTCGTCCACTACGAAACTGCTGAAGCCGCTGAAGCTGCCATTGAAAACGTCAATGGTATGTTATTAAACGACCGTGAAGTTTACGTCGGTAAGCACATCAGTAAGAAGGACCGTGAATCTAAATTCGAAGAAATGAAGGCTAACTTCACCAATGTTTACGCTAAGAACATCGATTTAGAATTCTCTGAAGAAGAATTCAAGAAATTATTCGAAGCTTACGGTAAAATCACTTCCATCTACCTTGAAAAGGACCACGAAGGTAAGTCCAAGGGTTTCGGTTTCGTTAACTTCGAAAACCATGAATCTGCAGTTAAGGCTGTTGAAGAATTAAACGATAAGGAAATCAACGGTCAAAAGATTTACGTTGGTAGAGCCCAAAAGAAGAGAGAAAGATTAGAAGAATTAAAGAAACAATACGAAAACACCAGATTAGAAAAATTATCCAAATATCAAGGTGTTAATTTATTTATTAAGAACTTGGATGACTCCATTGATTCCGAAAAATTAGAAGAAGAATTCAAGCCATTCGGTAGCATCACTTCTGCCAGAGTCATGGTTGATGAAACTGGCAAATCTAAGGGTTTCGGTTTCGTTTGTTTCTCTTCTCCAGAAGAAGCCACCAAGGCTATTACTGAAATGAACCAAAGAATGATCTACGGTAAGCCATTATACGTTGCTTTAGCTCAACGTAAAGATGTTAGACGTTCTCAATTAGAACAACAAATTCAAGCTAGAAACCAAATGAGAATGCAAAATGCTGCCGCCACCGGTGGTATTCCAGGCCAATTCATTCCACCAATGTTCTACGGTCAACAACCAGGTTTCTTCCCACCAAACGGTAGAGGTAACGGTCCTTTCCCAGGTCCAAACCCACAAATGATGATGCCAAGAGGTCAAATTCCACCACCTCAAGGTCAATGGCCAAGACCAGGTCCAAACGGCCAACCAGTCCCAGTCTACGGTATGCCACCAGTATACGGTGGTGACTTCAACAACGGTGCCAACGGTGGCCGTCAACAAAGAGGCTACTACCCTAACAGAAACCAAAACCAAAAGGGTCGTCAACAAAAGGACTTAGCTGCCATCATTGCCAATGCTCCTGCTGACCAACAAAAGAGAATCTTAGGTGAAGAATTATACCCAAAGATTGTCTCTACTGGTAAAGCCCAAGAACCTGAAGCTGCTGGTAAGATCACCGGTATGATGTTAGACTTGGACAACGAAGAAATCTTAGCTTTGTTAGAAGATGATGAATTATTTAACACTCACTTCGAAGATGCTTTGACCGCTTTTGAAGAATACAAGAAATCTTCTGAAGCCGCCGCTGCTGCTCCTGAAAACTAAGCTTACTTTAGTTAGGCTATTAGTTATTTTTTTCTTACTTTTTTGCAAAAGATGAAAAGAATTGTATTCTATTTTTGAAAGTATATAATGTAATAGTTATTTTTTGGTAAATGGGTTAATGGATTTATTATATATAACAAAAAAAAATAGGAAAAAAATTGAATAATAATTGTTTGAAATCGATTTAGAATGTAGAATGTGAACCAACGTTACGACTTTGATAAGTGATCTGTGATACGATTAAGGAAAAAGTTGATAACAGCAGTATTGGCTAATTCGTGTGAAATTTAGTATGTAGAATTTCGCGTGATTTAGATTGCTAAGTACTAAATAATTAGGACAGCATAGTGAAAAATACGTCCTCTTTATTTACTTATATTGTACAAGAAGCCATAATTATTGAAGGATTATCAAGCTAGCTACTCGGATTAATCCTATCAATATGAACAGCACTTTGAATGAATTTGAAAACCTTTCAGCATTTCCATCCGATGGGAAAACGGTATCCCCAAAGGATTATGCCAATAATGATAAGCTAAAATTGAGTGGTCGGATCATTAATGTGATGACACTGTTACCAACACAAATAGTTAAGAAGGCAGATAAATCTGGAAATGAAAATTGGGACGTAGAGCCTGTGAGAGGAAATTCTGCCCTTTATTCGTCCCAATTCTTTTTGGCACAGCAGACGGATTGGGAGAGTCATTTAGTTGCATGGACCGGAGAATTAATAAACAAGGCATCGAATTCTAAGAGTATTACAAGTGAAAATATAAAGGAGGATCCATTATATTTGAATAACGAGGATAAAGCGTCGTTGGAAGGAAAAATCAGGGACGCTAATGAATCTGCCCATATACATCCGGTCTGGTTACTAAGGAGAGATCAAGAAAGATGGAGGAATTATGCGGAAAATGTTTTATGGCCTGTTTTTCACTATATTCAAGGTGAACCATCAGATGGTAAGGACGAAGCCAATTCGTGGCATGATTACGTCAAATTTAATGAAGCTTACTGCCAAAAGATTAAGTCGATTTACAAGCCAGGTGATGTTATCTGGATCCATGATTACTACTTGTTATTACTTCCACAGTTATTAAGAATGGAAATTCCTAATGCTATAATTGGTTTGTTTATGCATGCTCCCTTTCCTTCATCAGAATATTTTAGATGTCTTTCAAAAAGATCACATTTGTTAGATGGTATGTTGGGAGCCGATAAGATTGCATTTCAATCCGAAGCATTCCAAAGACATTTTTCATCTTGTTGCACAAGATTATTGGGATGTGAAATTTCTAAAGATAAGCTTATGGCATATGGTTCGGCTATATCCTTAGAAACCTTGCCTATTGGTATTGATACCAAAAAGATTGAATACGATGCATTTTCTTCTGAATCAGGTATTGAACAGAAAGTTCGTGCATTAGGGGAAATCTATGCTGATAAGAAAATCATTGTGGGTAGAGATCGATTAGATACGGTTAGAGGTGTGGTACAAAAATTGCAGGCATTTGAAATGTTCTTGCAAATGTATCCCGAATGGAGAGATAAAGTTGTATTAATTCAAGTTTCAAGTCCTGGATATTCTCATTCAGCGAAGGTTGAGCAAAAGGTCACAGAATTAGTTCAGCATATCAATAATGAATATGGTAATTTAAACTCTACGCCAGTTTTGCATTATCAAAAGAGAATCAACAAGGATGAATATTTGGCTTTATTGAGGGTCGCTGACTTAGCTCTTATTACTTCAGTTAGAGATGGTATGAATACAACTTCTTTGGAATTTGTGATCTGCCAGAAGGAAAATTATTCTCCATTGATTTTGTCAGAATTTACGGGTACTGCTTCTGTTTTGAGTGAAGCCATTTTGGTTAATCCATGGGATTCAGTTGGAATTGCGAAAACGATGAACGATTGCTTCTACATGTCTAAAGATAAGAAGAGGGCTTTAGAAGAAAGATTGTATAAGCAGGTTACGGCAAACACAATTCAAAACTGGACTTCGGATTTTATAACTCATTTAATCGATCATGTTAACAATACGCATCAAACTCATTACACCCCTGCTTTAAATAGACCATTGTTATTGAATAATTATAAGAACTCTCAAAGAAGATTGTTCTTATTTGACTACGATGGGACTTTGACACCAATTGTCAAAGATCCAGCGGCTGCTATTCCTTCATCCAGATTGAATGTTGTATTAGATATTTTATCATCCGATCCTAAAAACCAAGTTTGGGTTATTTCAGGTAGAGATCAAGCATTCTTAGATAAATGGTTAGGATCTAAGAATATTGGTTTGTCTGCAGAACATGGCTGTTTCCTTAAGGATATTGGCTCTAAGGAATGGGCTAATTTGGCTGCATCTTTCGATATGTCATGGCAGGCTAAGGTTGACGAAGTGTTCAAGGAATATACCGAGAAGACACCTGGTTCAAATATCGAACGCAAAAAGGTTGCCTTGACTTGGCATTACCGTAGATCAGATCCAGAGCTAGGAAAATACCAAGCCGAAAAATGCTTAAAATTCTTAAAGGAGACAGTTGGTACTGAATATGATGTTGAAGTTATGCCAGGTAAGGCAAATATTGAAGTTAGACCTAATTTTGTTAACAAGGGTGAAATTGTTAAGAGGTTAGTTCTTAATCCTCATGGTGCTAAGCAATTGCCTCATGTGGTAACGAGCTACAATAAAGATGTTCCAACTGATGAATTACCTGACTTTATTTTATGTCTTGGGGACGATGTTACTGATGAAGATATGTTTAAGTCTTTGAAAGATATTGAAGCAGAGTGGAGCCTGAATAATCACCCAAAGAATCAATACGGATCCCATGGAGTTTATCCTGTTGCAGTAGGGCCTGCCTCGAAGCAAACTATTGCTACCTCACACTTAACAGAACCATCTGAAGTGTTAGAAACCTTGGGTTTATTGTCGGGTGTAGTTTCATTATTTGAAAGTGCAGGTTCAGTCCCTCTAGACGATAGAGGTCACCTTGAAAATAGCGTTTCCTCAAATAAATCAAAATATGCTATCAAAGAAGCAACCCTTAAGAAAGAAACGTCAAGAAATCTGTAATATAGTAGAATATACTTAACTAAATAGTTCTTTTAGATTCTTTTAGAAATTGAAATCCCAACATTTTATCACCTTATCATTTAACCTCGGTTAGACGTATTTTTTCATATAAATGAAGTCATCGCCTGTATTTTACAATTTGATATTTTGGTTCTGTCTATAAAATGATTTTTCCTTGGGGGTTTAGAAGTAACGTTAAAGTACATCAATCGAAAAGTGATAGATCCATTGATTTACCTTTGAGGAGTGGTGAAAAAACTATCAAATATTCAGATTTCATTAATGATGAATTGCCAATTATAGATGAGAATGAGAAATTATGGTTGAACCCACTTTTATTTAATGGATTATTACAAACATTATACTATTCATCTGCTAACTTATCTCATAAATTCCAAGTATACTATGGTAGAGAAATTTTCACGTATGAAGATGGAGGTGTTTGTTCTATCGATCATGTAATCCTGCAACCAGAAAACAAAGAAGAATTCAAAGCTCTTCACGATAAAACCTTACCGGAGGGATGGCCAAAGTTGCACCCTAGATCTAGATATTTTACTGATGAAGAATTAGAACAGATTAGAAACCCCAACGATTCACAATCTACCAAACCAATTTGTGTTATCATACATGGTTTGGCAGGAGGGTCCCATGAACCATTAATTCGTAATTTAGCCGAATATTTGAGTACTGGCAAAAATGAACATAGATGGGATACCTTGGTTATTAATTCTAGAGGATGTTGTCGTACCAAGATCACCAATGGAAAATTGTTCACTGCATTGTCAACTGGTGACATTCACGAAGTTTTGGTCGAATTGAAGAAAAGAAACCCAAACAGACCAATTTACACTGTCGGATTTTCTTTTGGTGCTGCTATCTTGGCCAATTACTTAGCTGAAATAAAAAATGATACCATGATAAGTGCTGCCTGTTTGGTCGGTTGTCCATGGGATTTGGTGGACAGTGCTTACCATATCGAAAATTCTTGGTCTGGTAGCTATCTTTTCAACCCAGCTTTAACCTCATTTTTGAACAAGTTGGTGAAGAATAACTTCACTGAGTTAAACCACCACAACTCAGAGTTATTCAACGAAGAGAACTTAAAGAAAGGTATGAAGCAAACCAAGACCTGGCAATTCGACTCTGTCTACACATGTCACACTATTGGCTATAGCAACCCTTTCGAATATTATAGAGATGCTTCTCCTGTTAACAGAATTCTGAAAATCCACACCCCTACATTAATCTTGAACTCTACAGATGATCCAGCTGTTGGTGTGAGATTACCATGGATGGAAGTCGAAAATAATCCTCACCTTTGTATGGTAGAAACTGATTTAGGTGGACATTTAGGTTATGTTCAATCTTCTGGAAAATTCTGGTGTGTCCAATTAGTAGAAGAATTCTTTGCTAAGTTTGATGAATTAATTGCTTCCTAGACTAAATATAATAAAGATATATATATAGATTATTTTATAAATAGACGAATACATTGATAGATACGCTTAAGCATGCGCTATTGTTAACACCTGAAATTTGCATATCTACATCTCAGCGAAGAAAACCCAAATATGCTAACCGCTATAAAATTTTAGCTCACTACGATTAACTCCATTTAGGCAACATTAAGATAACTTTAGGGTAAGTTTGAGCAATAAAGCCTTTTCGACGGTACTCTAAAGATATTGTACTCTGATAAAATTTTCTGTTCCCTTATCTCATTTGTTTCAAAAAATTAAACGAACAATCGCTTGGAATATAGCAACTTTATATGAACCTTAAATCTGATCATTATAATAGGTTTCTTTTCGTTTTAATCATTTAATATTTGATTAAATATGTTTAAACATAGTAATTTAAACATTGCATTATTTGATATCAAACTACATTCACCACATAAAGATTTGATATTGGTAAAAGGCAATGAAAGTGAATGTGATCCAATACCTTTTGAGGGTAGCGTCAAGTTATCGATACCACAAGACATACATGTTAAGAAGATAAAGCTAAACCTCACGGGGGAGTTTAATGTGGAGTTTTTCGAGAGGATGCCTAGCGGGATGATATCAGATCAAGTTTATGATAAATTGTGCGTCTTGAAAGTTGAATGGAACAACTTGTTGACCAGCGATGAGGGGGGGATCCAGTTCGGTAATTATGGTGATAAATTTGTCAAGATGCATAAGCTTCATGACATTATAAAGAAATCACAGTCTAAGGGTCATGGGGGACACAGACTGACGCTGTCTACATCTTTCACAGATATTCAAGAAGCTGACAGAAGTGGACCTAACTCGCTTGAAAGACCTTCATACTTTAGAACTAAATCGCAGCCTTCATTAGACAAATTTGGTCTGTCGGGATCGTTGGTAAAATTGCCTAGAAGTGGTGTTGATGGTACCCCTTTCAAGCAGTACAAGACATCATCTAATAATGACTACTTGTTACCACAAGGTAATTATCGCTTACCGTTCAAATGCTACTTACCTGCAAATACGCCCGAGACTATAGAAGGGTTGAAATGCTGTAGTCTTTTGTACAAATTAGAGTGTATTATTGAAAGAGGTCGGTTCGAAAAATCCATCCATACAGCGAAACATATCAGAATCCTGAGAACATTGCATCCAGATAATATGAATTTGACAGATACTATTGATATTGATAATAACTGGCCCAATAAAGCTCAGTACAGTGTTGGTCTCAGTAGAAGAGGTATCGCAATCGGTTCGACTATTACTGTTAAGTTAATGGTAATTCCAATTGCAAAAGGTCTAAAGTTGAAGGGTATGAGCGGTGTTATTGTTCAACGCTCACATACAGCGCATAGCCATGGTGTATCTGGGGACTTTGAAGAGCTAATTGGTAAGCAAACTATGCCTATACCTGATCCAGATACATTATCGACCGATAGGTGGGACGTCAAGTCAACCTTCAAAGTTCCATCGTCCTTAAAGGAGCTTACTCAATCGTGTGATTTAAAGAATAACATTATTCAAGTGAAGCATAGATTGAGAATTGCGGTTCAATTAAAAAATCAAGATGGCCATGTCAGTGAATTAAGAGCAAACTTGCCTGTATGCATTTATATTAGTCCCAATACCGGTTATCCCATGGGCAGAAAATTCGAAATATCAACCCAAGGATATCTTACTGCACACGACGAGAAGCAGGATATTTTATTCAGAAAAACAAGGAATGATTCTTCAATCAGTTCGACTCCTCATAGCCCTGAAGCAACATCTACAGATAACGGTGACATCGATGAAATCGATAGTAACGACTTGGATAGAACAGATAACGCACCCCCAATGTACCAACAACATATATTTGATAAAATTTTTGATATATCGTCGCCACAAAGCCCCCTTGAACAGTTGAGAATGCAAAGCAATGATTCTACCCCATTGAATTCTTTGCCAGGATCTATGGTTAATATTACCAGTTATTTCGATATCCCTAAGGGAATAGAAAGCAGCATGTCATCACCAGTGAAGTCTCCTACTTTTGACGTTATGTCTCTATCAAAGGTGCCTTCCTACACTCAAGCGATAGATGATAATGACGATGACGAAAATGAATTGGCTCCTACATACGATGATGAAAATAAAATCACACCGTTTTCTACAACATCAATACCTATTCCAATCAATAATAACTTGAGACATCAAAGCAGGACGAGTTCTCCGATGACAAGCAAGTCATTTTTATCTTTGAATTTACCAAAGTCTCGCCGTGTTTCGCCATCTCATTCGCTTTCTACGTCTCCGCAACCACATACTCCTACGCCAGGATCACCTAATACAACCATACAGAACACCCCGATTAAGTCCCCACATAACATGAAGCTAAACACAAAATTCTTGCATAAAAGGAAGAAATAGAGTATTTTATAGAGAAATATATATATATTATAGTAGATAAGTAGTTTTTTGAATTGCGCACTCCCTTGATATTTACCTGAAAAAATCGTTGAACACGTATAAACTGGTATATATGATTTGCTTTAGCATAACAATTAAGCTAAATCAATAATTATGGCGGAAGTTCCAATTACCACTTCGAATCAAAGGTCTCAAGTGGCTATAAATATAGCTAATTATTTGAAGGATAATAAAATTTTGAAACAAAGAACTGGTTTATTGAATAATTCTGAAGATGTAGAATTTTTCAGATATAAGAGATTGGCCAGAGCGTTATTAAGTGATGACTATAAGAACAAACAAGCAAATCATAAGAATGGATTGATTCCAATTGCTGATGAACAAGAAGCTGCAAAGGTATTCATTACGTTGATCCAAAGTCAATTTGTTATCCCGGTAGAAAAGTTACATTATAATGAAATTAAGCAAACAAACAAGAGCTGGAAGCCAAACAGAACCAAGCCAACGTTAAAACAATCCACAAAGGCTAATATAAAACCAAATGCGTATTTTGTTTGGACGTATAACAAGCCTAACCCATTCATTTTATTATACAGTATTTTATTGATTGTGGGTATATTCACTATCATTTTATTCCCATTATGGCCTAACTTCATGAAGATTGGGGTATGGTACTTATCGATGGGATTACTAGGCTTATTAGGTTTATTCTTCTTGATAGCCATTATTAGGTTAATCATTTACATTATTACATTGCTTGTCTTGCCAAGAGCATTTTGGTTGTACCCTAATTTGTTCGAAGACTGTGGTGTTATCGAAAGTTTCCAACCATTGTACGGCTGGGACGAACCTAAAAAATCCAAGAAGAAGGGCAAGTCCAGTAAATCATCATCCAAGCCTGATGCTGAAACCTCTGGGGCTACTACAGGTGTTAAAGCAACAGAAAACGCCCCAACAAAACGTAAAGTTGTATTAGAAGAAGTTGACGAGTAGATATTTGCTTATCCATAAATATTTATCTAATATATATAATGATTTAAATAGGAACTGACATTAATAAGATTCCAGTATAAGTTATAGTGTATAAAATCGCTCTACGCGATTAAATAAAAAAGTCATTTAATAAGAATATAGCTTAATTGATAAAGAGCAAACGGTTTAAGGACAATGGTAATCATCAATAACTTAACATTTAACCAGGACTACTCGTGTATTTCGGTATCTACCACGAAGTATCATAAGATATTCAATTGTGATCCATTTGGAGAATTCTATTCTTCTTATCAAGGTTCATCTGGTACAAAAGGCGATAAGCAAAAGGATAATGGCAATGAAATTATTATTGACAAAGGAAATGGCAATGAATACAATAAAATAGGAGAGGATTCGCCTACACTGTATTTGAAAATGTTGTTTTCAACTTCACTTACTATTATCATTCCCCAAAATGAATCTGTGGGGAACAGGCTATTAAAGATATATAACTTGAAGCAAAACATGAAGATATGTGAATTGACCTTCCCGTCGCATATAATAGATGTCAAATTGAATAGGAAAAGACTCTGTGTTATATTGGAGAGTGGTCAGATATACATATATGACTTGAGCTGTGTCAGGTTAATAAAAGTATTAGAAATCAGTTCATTTTCTAGCAACGAAGGCGAAGAAGAAACCCACCAGAGACTCTTTGTGGGTGATCTTGGAGCAGATGATACGTCACTATTAGTTTTACCAATTTCAAATATAACAGAACAAACGGACTTATTTAACACCGAAAATGGAGTTAATGTGACAAGGGCCAGCGATTCAAACATTTTAACATCTCTTAAGCCGCTCATTGAATTTACCAAGGAAAAGATCAATAAGGACATCATTACACTAGAAGACTTGAAGAAGGACTCAAATGGGTGGGTATTAATATATGATACCATTAAACTTAAGCCCAGATTAATCTACAAGGCCCACGACTCATCCCTAGCTAAAATTACAATTTCTAACGATAACAAGAAAATAGCTACCGCATCATCAAAGGGGACCATCATAAGAGTGTGTCAATTGGAGTCGTCGGACGATGAGGACGTAACTAGACCTTTCAAGATATCGCAGATAATTAACTTGAGACGGGGCCACAATATAGCCAAGATCAATTGTTTGAGCTTCAGCCTCGACAACATGATCTTGGGATGCGGGTCCGAGTCCAACACAATCCACTTTTTCAGGCTCCTGAAGCAACCGCATGAAAGCTTCGAGTACGAAGAGGATCCTGCCAACGAGAGCGATCCCGAGGACGAAGACAGGTCGTCCGAAGACCTCAACCAGAACTTGGCCAACTTGCTTATCTCCAAGACCCCCGACGCCTCGGCCCCCGAACAGAAAGACCTGGCCAAGGCCTCGTATTTCGATGTCCTAAAGAAGAAGGTCGAGGGCTCATCCAGGTTCATGAACAACCCCTACACCCAGACCATCGTCAAGAACTTGCCCTACAAAAACTACTTCGAAAACCTCATCTGGGAGCCCCCCAGAAGGTCTTTCGCCTACATCAAGCTACCAGAGTACACCCCTCCCCAATTGTTCAATCTCCACCTGTCGAAGAACAAAGTGGCCATTGGCTTCGCTAACACCAACAATACCCACTTGATAATGCTTGCGTCCTATCAAACGGGCCAATTCTACCACTATCAGCTACCAAAGCCCTCTGATCTGCCCGAACCATCCGACCTGCGTCATGAGTGCAATCTAGTCGCCCAGTATAGTCTATTATGATACCATTGAAGCTGTCGAAGCTGAGACCATAAAGGTACTAAATGGCCCTAGAGCTCTATTCTATACTTTCGAGGGTGGCATCATGCACCATTCTCGTGACTTAACTATGCATCGGAACTAGTATACCGGTGGTTCCTCCCGAAACTCTCACTTATCCGCTTTTGTGTCATATATCGTCTTTTATTGAGGAGAAAAAGTTTTTGAAGGATCACAGGAATCATACCCGAGTACATTTAGGTTACACAATTGCTATAAACGAACCATTATATAAGAGGGAACGAAATCCAAGTAAGGGGTAACAAAAATTTTGAAAGAATGTTGAAAACAAATTTGAGGAAGATAACTTCAAATAATAGATTTAACACTCAATTAACTAAGATGACATCTAATTATTCTACTGGGTCCAATATTATTGGATATGCGGAGGATGATGTTTTATTTTCGAACAAGAACATGGCCAGACTTGTAACATTGAACAGACCTAAAAAATTGAACTCGTTGAACACTTCAATGGTTAGTAAGATTACACCTAGATTGTTGGAATATTCGAAGTCGAGTGTGAATAACGTAATCATTTTGAACTCGACATTAGCCAAAGGATTGTGTGCTGGGGGAGATGTGACTGAGTGTGCCAAACAGATCAAGGCAGGCAATGCGGCATATGCGGCAGACTTCTTTCAAAGAGAATACAACTTGAATTACTTGATATCGACGTATCCCAAGCCGTATGTGGCGTTGATGGACGGAATCACGATGGGAGGGGGTGTAGGATTGTCTGTGCACGCGCCATTCAGAGTTTCTACCGAGAGGACTAAATTAGCGATGCCAGAAACTGATATTGGGTTGTTTCCGGATGTAGGGACGACTTTTTTCTTGCCAAGATTGGACGACAAGATCGGATACTATCTTGCTTTGACCGGGCAGGTATTGAGTGGGTTGGACTGCTACATGTTGGGATTTGCTACCCATTACGTTCCGTCGGACAGAATTGACTCGTTGGTGAACAGATTATCCAACTTGCAGCCTCCAAGTGTGAACGATAACAAGCCTGAAGACAACCACACATCAATCTTGAACAACAACAAGGAATATTTCGCGCAAGTGAACCAAGCTATTGAAGAATTCACCGAAAACAAGTTGCCAGAAGACTATAAATACCCATTTACCACTGAAGAATTAAGATTAATTAAGAATGCATTTTCTCAACCTTCAATTGAAGAAGTATTGAGCTATTTGGAAAAAGACGGCTCCGAATTTGCGCAAAAGACTTACAAGACTTTATTGTTGAAATCGCCTACTTCCTTGAAAGTTGCATTTGAGTTAATGAACCGTGGTGCCGAAAACTCTATTCGTCAGCAATTTGAATTGGAAATGATCACGGCTACTAATTTGGTTAATATTAAGCCTGAAGAAAATGATTTCGTTAAGGGTGTTTCTCATAAGTTGATCGACAAAATTAAGGAACCAGCATACCCAGAATGGAATCTGAATAAACAACCAAGTGGAATTTCTTCTGAATTTATTCAAAAGGCGCTCAGTAAATCGATCCATTCTTCGAAATTGAACGAACCATTACTTCAAAAATTATTCGGTATTAACTATAAAGCTTATCCTTATAATATGGGATTACCAAATAGTAGTCAAGTTAAAAGTTACATAACTGGTAATGATGGATCTGGCAGATCATACTTGCCAACTCCATCTGAAGTGAAAAAGTACTTTAAGCAATCCACAAGTAACAAGTTAGGAGTCGAATTGAAAGTTCAATCCATTTTAGATCATCATGGTGAAGCGTCAAAATATGATAACAAGTACGTTTCTTGGATAGAATAAAGTCTCCTGTAAATATATATATAATAATATAAGAATTTTATTAATCTAACATACGTATACAATTACACTGTTCAAATACACTATTTAAACTTTTCTAAAATTAAATCCTCACCTAATTCTTCATAATCACTCTTAGTAACAAACCAATTGTCTAAGGCAATGTTGATACCGTTTGATTCTTGGCTGTCATTATCGTTCAACATACTGGCCAAATTACATGCACCCAACCAAGAACCGAATTTTTTGTCCCAAACCTCATTGATATCGTTTTGTTGGTAGTTGCCTAGCGTTCCTAAGACTAACCTACCAGGTTGCGTAAAAATATAATTTGGAAAGAATTGATGAGCTGACTTATAAATGTCATTTATTACTCTCTGCGATAATCCAGTGGTTAATGAGGAACCACCTGTAATTAAAATGTTCGATAACAACTCTCTCAATATTTCGTTGAATTTTGTATAACGAGAGTTAACATTTTGTGCATTAATAGGTTCGTTATTTGGAATAAAGGAGCTTTCTAAATTCTTTAAAGCTAACAAAACCAAATTAGATAAACCATTTGTTTGTGGTTTGTTGAAGTTGACTTCGGGTATGGTCAAGTTCAGTAATGGCGAAAAATTTGGTTGAAATAAATTCTCTAATAAATTGATCTGTTCCCTGTTAACGCCGATATGACTTTTATTAGGTAATTGGTAATTTTTTGGATTTAATGCATTTGTTGATTGACTCGCTGGGATCTCGCAAACATTGAGCATTGAGCTCTTAAAATCTTGTAATAGATTATAACTTATTTGATAATCCTTAAATGATTGTGACATTCTAGTAGATTGGAACTTCAGAGGTATCAAATTATCAATTGAAGTTTTGGATTCCAAAAAATTTAATGCATGTAAATTTGAAAAATCTCCAGCGTATTTTGAGTGGAAAGAAGATTTTGATTGAATGATACCATCCAAAATTGGTGTAACACTGGCTACTGAAGATCCAACATCTATAACGAGACCCGTAGATCTTCCCATGTGATATAATTGTGACAAAGGTGTCTTTACAAGAGAAAATATAGGCACTTCTAACGTCTCGAATGCTATCTGAGTAGTAGCCAACTTATTCTTAGATGTATTCCATGGCTGTTCGGTTAACATTAATGGAAATTCCTTAGCATTTATCGGATTATTATTATCAATATTATCATAGACATATTGCCAGTTGTGGACTATATTATCAAAATTGTAGATTAATCCATTTTCCATGAAGGTCATTATTTCGCTTTCTGGGTTTTCATCTATTTGCCTGTCCCCAACCTGAACTTTAGAATTTGAATCTACCACATAGTTCGAATTGAACACCAAAGATGGTAAATCATCCAGGGCAAAACCAGCTTTCGTAGTATGAGATCCATTGTCTATGACAACGGCTGGTGAAGTATAAGTCATCGTCCTTCTTATATCTGTATCTTCGCTTATGAAAATTCAAGTTGTTTATTATGAGCGGACGTGTTTTCCACTTCCTAATTTTTCATTTACTTAGGTCGTGTAAAAAACATCACCAGATTTTTAGTACTTACTAACTAAAGTTTTTACTCTGACTTACCAAAAACAATGTATAGTTTAAGCAAAGTCAAATATATGGCACATGTACGAGTTGAAATTAGTTTAGTTTTATTTTTAAAAAAAAATATAGAATAAAAAAAGTTTGAATCAAAAGAGTTCAACAGACCCAATAGCTGCAAAGGTCACACTATAGATACTAAGATAATGTTCACAGATACATAGATACAAAATATGTTCACGGATACATAGACAGCTAATGACAAATATTAAAACAAGTACTATTTTAGGTAGCAAAAACGAGTCCTCTGCTTATTGTTACTTTTCAAAATTCTTTAATTTTTCTTTAAGTTGGCAATTTTCATTCTTCAAGAGCCCCAATTCAATTATTAAGCTCAGCTTATTACTCGAGCTAATCATCTTTAACAAATTTTCGTTTTCGCTTTGCAACAATGAAAGCTTATTGATAATTTTATGGGCCAATTCTTGTTCATCAAACTCGCCATTAACCAGCAATGAGCGTTGGTTATTCATAGATAATGCAACAACTATCGATTCCAATCTTTCTTTTGTCTCTTCGAGTTCAACAGTCTTTTCTTTCAAGCTCTTAGTTAAATCTTTAAATAGCTCGTAATAATTTTGAGGAACTTTGAAGGTGTTGCTTGGACCATGTTTCACATTTTTTAATTTATTGAGTGAATTTAATTGATCTGAAAGATTCTTAATGAGTTGGTTTTTAATCACTAAATCCACCTTGGTCCTTTCGAGTTCCTCCTGTAACTTATCCTTTTTACTAGCATTGATTGCAAAATTTTGCAACGACGACCTATCGTAAAGCTCGCAACTCTGATTATTGTAGTATTTATCATAATGCTGGTGATTGTTGCTGTAATTGTAAGGAACATAACTTGGGGCATTCACATTCATTGAGTTATTATTACCAATTGCTTCAACATTGTTAGCCTGAGTCTGAAACGTTCCCGTTTGAAAGTTGGTTGGGGCCTGGAGATGAATGGGACTAGTGATCGAATTTTTATAGTTATTCGTCTGCCAGAACTTGACCAGTGGGTTCTCAGTAAGCATGGATTGCTGGCTTGATTCATTTGACATGATAGAAGAATCTATCAGTGAGTTCATCTGAGATGTATTCATGTTCACATATTGATTCTACATAGTTAGTAACGGATTTCTCTCTCTTTCGATCAACGACAACATACTGTAGTAGGCTTATCCATTATATCTATCTTTGAATATACTGGCTTATATTGTTGGTTATAAGTAAGAAAAAAAACTTATCTTCTTTTACAACAAGTATGAAACACATGGATACTTATATTGAGGTTTGGCTGCCACATTAAAATTATGAGTCTGCGGTTAGCCTTTTCTTCTCCATAATAAATATAGTACAAAATTTACATTCATTACGGTCCGTGACGTATTTCTTAATAAGGCTGGTATGAGCCTATCATCTGCCTTAATATATGGCCGTTTGGAGAATTCAAAACCTGCTGTGGAAGCTTTAAAATACGATCTTCAAGGTTTTTGCCGACCAAAAAATCAAGTAACACGTCTGTAAAATGATTACAGTTGTTATCAAATATGTCGTATTTCACAGAATCATATTTGAGGTCTTCGTGGTTCCTCAACTCATCAAGAAAGTCTTCAAAGATATCTGGGGTAACAAACGTCTCGCCCATGTCAAGAACCTCTCTCGGAGTGCCATATTTAGTGGTCCCAGGAGTTGATCTTTTTATTCCCTCGCTAATGTAATGCTCTTTATCATATACAACTACTGACGTATGGTAAATAGCATCAATGTTTATCCCAAGAATCAGAGGGGCGTAAACGGCTGCTAATCCATGAGAAAGATCATAAACATATACCTTTACTTTAAAAGATGGTTCTTCGTCTTGAGTCATTATTTTCACTGAGTTGGTTTATCACGTAAGTGTATTAGAGAAGTGTTATTTGTCTTACTAATGCTTTTGTTAGCACTTATATTCAAAAGGTTTTAAGAAGTTTTGCCATCATAAAGATAGCAAACAGGTCGTGTATGCGCTTGTAACAAAAAAAATTTTCGACCTAGTCAGGCTAAGAAATTGTGATCTGTTCGATACGGACTTGATACAGCATTAAGTGTTCTATTATTTTAAGAATTGTCTACATGAAGTTCATTCCTTTAATAGAATGATATAGTTTTTTTGTGTTTTTAATCATTAGTAACCTATTCATATACAGTTTGCATAACTTCCAGGATTTTATAGATTTCAGGTGGAGGAGATAATTGTGATCAAGACATACAAATTTTTTCATTAAGCATATACTAAAAGCATTGCATAGTACAATGGCTACTCCGTCTACAATCGAAGAGATCCAAACATATAAGACCCAATTGAATGAATTTTTAAGTAAGAAATTCATCGATCAATCCTTGTTACTCGGATTTAATAACGTACTTCAATCAAAGTTTCAGACCTTGATTTTATCGGATTGTAATGATTATTACGATAACTTAAAAGCGTACGAGAGTCTATCAGAAAATGATGTTCCAAATAATCAGCTTGACCTAGAATTCAGAACAATCAAAATATTTGAAATTCTCTGGACCGAATTCCATTATCCTATTATCAAGTTTTTTCAATTTCACCATGCCACGTATTATAATGACTTCAGTAAGAAATTTCTTGACTCTAATGGAAAGGATAAGTCTTTGAAGGCGGTAGAGATCAGAAAAATCAATGATAACTTTAATAAATTCATGAAACAAGTTTATAATTTCTACTTCACATTATTGAAACACTTCTCAACCCATTTCCTGAACCCATTGATTCCAGAGACATTCTTAGCTCACTTCAACTTTGTTATTCCAAATAATGCTATCAAGACATTTAACGCTAACTTACAAGCAAACTTAATATTCCTAGTTCACAGGTGTCTATTGTCGTTGGGAGATATATCTCGTCATAGGTCATTTATGGAACTCTCATATGTTAACCCATGTTTGTCAATTAAGAATTTTTGGAAGTATTATCATTTATCAAACCTGTCTAGCAAAGATAAGGTTTCGCTAATGAAGCCATTGTATGAGAAGGCATTGAACTTCTATAGGTTTTGTATATTACTTTTACCAGCACTCAATGAGCCATATAATCATATCGGAATGATCTACAATTTAATGGATAATAAATACGATGCTTGCTACTGGTTTTTGAGATCTCAATTTACAAGACTTCCAGATTACAAATTAGGATTAACCAATTTGAATACAATTTTACGGAAAGACTGGTTCATCAATAATTTGATTTCTTTCAATTATCCAAATAAGAAAAGCAAAATTCCTGTATCGAAAATGGACGAATTAAACATAACTCTTATCTGTTTGATATGTTATTATTATATTCCCGAGTATTATCACCAGTCTAATAACACTATCATTAAAAACATCAAGTATTCAAAAATTGAAGGAGACTTTTTTAAAAATTTAGTTGATTCATTTGATAAATTCATTCGTAAATATGAAGAAGAAGATTTAAATTTCTACGTTAAGCAACTTGTGGTGATTATGTCGTTTAATAAACTTCTTGAGCTGCGTGATGACAAGTCAGCATCGGAGCAATTCATTAAGTTTACATTTCGCTACATAAATAAACTTTTAGAATCATGCATTTCTGTTGAAATCGACTTTCAAAGTAAAAGAGTTGTTTTGATTATTTTAAGGTTATTATTTAATTGGTTTAAAGAAAACAAGGTTGTCCTAAGAAACTTACAAGCTAGAAAAAGCGTTATGGTGAGCATAATCACGTTGCTAAATAGAATTACTTCTGATATCTATGTTAATGATTCACTTAGTCAAGATATTAATCGTGAAAAAATATGCGACTTAATTAAGTCTAATTCTAGGCCAGTGAGAGATTATTACTTCAAGGAAGATGTCTACTTTAGAGATTTCCTGATTATTAAGTTCCAATTCAAGGATTTTAAAGATGATCATATTTTTGCATCAAATAATATCAACTTACTTGTTGGAGATTATACAAGTTTAATAGATACAGACACTTTTGTGCCATCATTTTTGGACAATGATTTGTATAAGCAATTAATTGAAAACAACAAAAGCAATCAGAAGAAGAGCCATTCCCATATGGAAAAGAGTGATATTCTCGATATTGAAATTATTCATTATGAGAATAACTTAAGATTAAAATCAGTGATTTTATTAAGTAAGAAGTTGCTAGAATGCAACCCTTATTGTATCGCATTTGACTACGAAGAAGGTAAATTTGTCGTTAGCGATAAGACTTCAGAAAATGTAGAAGTTAAATTGGAAGTCAAAGACTCTCAGGATAAAGATAGAAAAGTTTCTGATCAAGTTGGCAAGCCTAATGACAAATTTCAAACTAAGAAGAAAGAAGGCAAAGTTAAAGCTGATAGATCTGGAAGAGATAAACATCAACATAAAACCTTACCAAAGTCAGAAAGCAAAAAGGAGAAGAAAAGCGTTCAAGTTGAGAATTCTTTAGACAATATAAACACAAAAGATCAAGAAGCAATTCAAATTCCTAATACTCTTCAAGAGCTTAATTCTTTTATTCTCAGTCATTCTTCTCAGTTGCAAGATAGCTTGTTGCAAAATCCTAGTGATAAATCCATTGCGGTCAATTCGAGTACAGATGATATTTTAACTCAAGACCCACAAAGGGAAAATGGGCTTAAGAATATGGTGGATTCGTTAGTGCTTGAATCATCTAATAGTGAACCAAAGAGTGTCAATTCCAATACACCTAATATTTGGAAGAATGGAAGTGGTAATGAAGTTATTAACTCGGGAACTCCATCCCAATCGTTCAATATGTTGAATTCTACTTTTTCTAATACATCTGTAGCCAATGATCAACCCATGTATGGTGGGATCCCAATGCCATCCCAACTACCTCAAGGAACACATATCTCGCCTAATTATTCCCAAGTATTCCAGCAGCCTTATCCGCAATATTTTAATCCATTCCCAACTCAGTATCAACAGGGAAACAGCACACCTTACTATCAAGGAGCAAACGACCGTTTCATGCCAATGTCTTCGCAGCTGCTGTTACATTCAGTACCACCTTCGCTTCAACAACAGCCATTGCAAGCTTCAACCCAATCGCCAATGCAAGCGGCAACAGCATCGCCAGCACCTGCATCAGTATATCCGCAATATGGACAATTTTATAACCAGTTTATGGGACCACCACAACATATGCAACCTCCTCCTCCACTTCCGCAACAACAACAACAACAGCAACAGCAACAGCAACAGCAACAGCAACAGCAACAGCAACAGCAACAACAATCTGATCAAACTTCCAATCAGTACGGAAGCACCCCATATCCTTCCTGATTCTTACAATCTAAACTTAAATTTGTAAGGAATACTGTGTATGAGTTTGAGCGATTACTTGATGCTAGGGTTGTGTAGCTCGTTTTATCATATAACATTAAAAGCGACTATTTAAAGCTGCAAGTATGTATATATATATATGTAGTGTATTGTTTAGTGTTATTTATAGAATCAACAAAACAGCACGAACCATCATTATATCCGTCATTTACAATGTAAGCATTCAGTTCAATGATATATTAATTAATAATACATACTGTTTCCTTTCCTTATACTTTTCTTTGGTAAGTAATTCTTGAATTTTTAAGAATAATGTCTAAATTTAAGAAAACTTATCATAGGGTGCAAAAAGACACTTTAGGTTGACATTTTATATTAAAAAAATTCGAATTAAATCATTTTAATGAAACAACCACTAGATTACAATCAAATAGTCTAGTTTCAGTACAATATCTCTTGTAGAGGGTAAATATTGTAGTAATAATGTATATAATATATATTTACCAGTCGTGTCGTTTTTTTTGGCTGTGCCTGAAATTTCGAATATCTCGATCTTCGAAAATATTTATGGTGTGATTCAAGATCTGCAATTTTATTCTTGACAATTTATAAATAAGCTATTGGGAGTTAGTTATATTGGATTAATATTATTGAACTGTGATTATTCCAAGAAGAATGGGTGAAATTACACATAGAAGTAACAATGAAACTTATACTTTCGAAACTCCTCCAGCAGATTCTTCAATTGAAATTCTAAACGAATTCTACTGGACAAAAGAAACAGAACCACATGGTACTAGAAGAAAACAAATATTGGAAAAATATCCAGAGGTTAAAAAGTTAACAGGGTATGAACCTAAAACCAAATGGTATATATTTGGAATTTTGATATTACAATTTTCAGTTGCCTATTACTTAAGAAACACACCACTTTTCAGCTTCAAATTTATAGCGTTGGCATATGTCATTGGTGCTACGTGTAATCAAGCGATATTCTTAGCTATACACGAGTTATCTCATAATTTGTTATTCAAGAAGCCACTTCACAATAAACTCTTTGCAATTTTCACTAATATGCCTATCGGGATTCCATATTCTGCTTCGTTCCAACCATATCACCAGTTACACCATAAATTTTTAGGTGACGAATACTTAGATGCTGATTTGCCTACTAAATTTGAAGGTATCTTTCTCTCAAATGTTTTGGGCAAGGTGTTTTTTGCCATATTCCAGATCCTTTTCTACGCATTAAGACCAATGTTTATCACTCAGATCAAGTTTACGTATATCCACTTATTAAATATTGCATACCAGGTCATAGTAGATTACCTCATGGTTAATTATTGGGGTGGAAATTCACTTGGATATTTTATTATGAGTTCATTTTTGGCTGGATCTTTACATCCATGCGCCGGTCATTTCATCGCCGAACACTATGTCTTAAATGAAAACAATAAGTCAAGATCTGGAAATTTAGATAAAGCTAATGGAAATATAACTAAGGAATTATTACCTGAAGAGACATACTCTTACTATGGTCCTTTAAATAGATTAACTTGGAATGTTGGATATCATAATGAACATCACGATTTTCCTTACGTCGCCTGGACCAAATTACCAGAATTAAGAAGGATTGCCGCTGAATTTTATGACCCTTTGCCTCAGGTTGAGTCGTGGTGTGGAGTGATTTGGTGGTTTTGCTTTGATGATATAAATACATTATGGAATAGAGTCAAGAGAAATGGTAAAGAAAAGCATGGATATAATGTTGGAATTAAGTTAGATGTTAATTAAATAGGAATAAAATAGATATGTATCTCGTTATATTAAATATTTACACTACAAACCTTTAATCAAACGGGTAATTTCATCTAATCCATCTTTATTCAAGCTAGATAACTTGTCTTGTACTACTGAAACAAGATCATCAACATTAATGATTTCACCTTGATCACTATCGTCACCTTGTCCTAATACTTTCAATCTTAATTGGCCTTGAGGATATTCTTCTTTTCCTAAAATAACAGCAATTTGAGCTCCAGACTTTTCTGCGGCATCAAATTGTTTACGAATATTAGCTTTACTCTTATACAAGTATTCAGTGTTTATACCTGCTGACCATAATTTATTGGTAACGCCCATTCTTTCCTTTAAAAACCCGTTCCAACCTTCACCACCACCGAAAGCCATGACAAAGACTTGAGTTTGTGATGAGCTGATTTTTTCCAACTCCTTGGTAGCTCTTGCTTTGATTATGGAGAAGATTCTCTCAACACCAAAAGAAATACCAACGCAAGGAATTGATTTGCCATTAGAAAACATACCTACTAAGTTATCATAACGACCACCGGCGGCGATTGATCCAACACCAACGTATTCAGAAGCATCTTCAACTTCAGTTTTTTCTTTCTGAGCCTTTTCCTTTAATTCGCTGGCGTTGGTTGGTGGAGCAGATGCAGATGTAACAGCTTCATAAATCAAACCTGTGTAGTAATCCAAACCTCTGGCTAATGATAAATCAAACGATGTGAAACCGGCAATTTCAAATGCATCAACATAATCAGCTAAGATACTCATTTCTTCAATACCCTTTTGAGCTGATTCGTTCTCTTTTAATAAATCATTGGATTGTAATATTTGTAAAACGTCTCTGATCGAACCGTTCAACTTAACAAAATTACCAATCCTGTCAGCAACTTCTTCAGATTGTCCCTTTTCAACAACCATTTCTTTCTTTACCGCTTCCCATGGAGATTTATCTAACTTGTCAACAGCAGAAGAAATCTTTCTGACATCCTCATCTTTAACACCACAGGCCTGAAAGATACCGTCTAAAATTTTTCTATGATTCAATTTAATTTTAAAATCTTTAACACCCAAACTCGTTAAACCCTCACACAAAAGGGTTAAGACTTCTGAGTCTGGGACCATTGTATCGTAATTACCTGCCACATCGAAATCACATTGGTAGAATTCTCTCATTCTACCCTTTGTCATAGCCGGTTGATCTCTTCTATAGACCTTAGCAATGTGATATCTCTTAATACTACTAATACTATTACAGGCAACAAATCTTGCAAATGGAACAGTTAAGTCATATCTTAATGAAGTCAATTCACCACCTTGATCTTCTAAGTTATATATTAATTTAGAGTCTTCACCGTACTTTCCAGTTAAAATCTCCCTTAACTCAAATACTGGCGTATCTATTGTTACACCTCCGTGTCTCTTGAATAATGAAGTTAAAGTACCAAAAATTGCTTCTCTGATAACCATGTCTTTATCAGCCCAATCCTTAGTACCTTTTGGGGTCTTTAATAAAAATTGGTCTTGCTTCTTAGACTTCTTACTAGCCTTCTTTGAAGATTGAGGTTTAGTATTTGCAATAGGGGCGGCAGCAGCAGCTTCAGTTGCCGCAGCAATTGTAGCGTCAGACATCTTTCTTATGTTACGGTTTCGTGGTATTGATGTGAATAGCCTTTGAAACATAAACTGGTAAAGAGTTTTGGATGGTTCAACTACAACTTTTGATACTGGAAAATTCGTGAAATTTTTTTTTTTTTGTGACTCAAAATTTGACGATAGAACACTTGCAAATAAGTAAAGAAGAAAAAAAAGGCTTTTATATCATATAGATAAGCTAAAATATACACAGCGAAGAACTAAAAACAGTGATAACTACTTTAATTTTTGAGTTAAATTATTTTAGAACTTTAGTCCTCGTTAATACCATTAGACTTTGAATATTTTAATCTCATTACACCATCACTAAGAATTCTTTTACCCCAGCTACCAGCAGCAGGATCACCAGTTTCATCTCTGCATTGTTTCAAGAATGGTAATAAGGCGGTTCCACCAGTCCCTCTTTCTTCTCCGCGCTTACTCTTTGATTTTGCCAAACCAGACCTTAAAGTCGAAGTAGATCCCATTTTTGAGGCCTGCTTAGCTTGCAAAACCACGTACCTGGTAACAATTTGAATATGCTTATCTCTGAACAGCTTCAACATGGCTAAGCACGCATCGTAACTCAACGTCAATTCAGGATTTGAATCATACTTACTGAGAACATATTCTCTTATATTGGATATTTCCTGAACCTTCATCAAGAAATCTTGATGACCACCGGGCATGTAGGAACGCATTTCATTCATGAAATTGTTTTCACCATCTTTTGGTGCTTCTGGTTTTTCGTGTGGAACTGGTCTTCCACCGGTTGGGTAATGTTTAATTCCCAATAAAATATCAAAAAATTGAATTAATGAAGATTGTGCATTCGAACCTCCTGCGTATGACCTTGGCTTGGCCTCATTTCCATATAACACTCCATCTTTATCTAAACCGACGTCACCCATATTCTTCCAGCCAGCCAAATATGGCCTTATTCTAAAATAAAATACATGTGGGTCACACATTTCTTCCATTTTCATCAACACTGAGCCTAAGCTATCAATCGCTTGGGCCATAGTTTGTAACTTTTCTGTCAATTTTTTGGTATCTCCGTTAAGGGAATGAGTAAGGGCATCCAAGCCTGCCTTAATAGCAAACGAGCCTTTGTATTCAAAATAAACACTGACCAAATAAAACCAACTCTCGTCTATAGATCCGGTGAAAGTATTTATTGTGGTCAAATTATCCAAGTCCCATTTTTCGTTTTCATTTTCGTTAGGCATGATTTGTTTGAAATTCCATAAGCATAATCCAGCATATGTCGCTATAGGTGGCAATCTTAAATAATCTGATACTTCGATTAAAGGCTTGGCGATCTGTTCCGGAAGCTTGTTAGTTGGCTTGTCAGTACCCCATATATAAGCGTGCGCTAAGAACCCTAATACTTGATAAGCTCTTCTGTACTCCGGAACATTTTTGAGTTCACCTGTAGATAAAATAGGTAAGTTTGTATCAATGTGCCACCTTATTTTTTTAGTCAATATTAATGAAGGCAAGTTGTTTACTAATCTTTCCCATGGCTGATAATATTCTTGTGGCAATTTAACCAAAGGAAATTCCGAGGGCAAAAAACCTGTATTTGGGAAGACATCATAGTCCTCCATTCTTGGAATATCCACCATCTCTATGTCGTGTGTTCTATGGTTCTATTAATTTTAAATTCGAACAAATATTTCTCTATTTATTGGAAAAAAAATCATCCGAGCGTTTTAAAAGAAATGACGAAATTTAATGTGTCGCAAAATCCGAATTTTTACGATCAACTATAAAGCTATATATAATCAATAGAACTCATTCTTTGGCAAAACATTGCCATTGGAATCTCTATCTATACCCAATTCTAAGAGTTTTCCAAAGGCTTCTGCAAAGTCTTGAAAGAATGTCGCTTGGTGTTGACTATATAGCTTAACAAAATGTAGGAAATGTGGATCTCTAATTAGCTCCATATCGGTATTTAGCATAATTAGAGACTTGTCTTTGTTATAATACTGCTCTTTTCCGGTTTCGGGTACCGTTCCAAGACTCCATTTTTCGTCTAACAATACTTTGTAGAAGTCGTTACTAAAAGAGATGGGGTTTTCTGTCCATTTCCCTTCCCATCCACTATATCTTTTGTGGCACCTTCCTAAACCATGTGCGCCTAATAACAGGACAGTTTCTCTATCATTGAATCCCATTCTGCTAAATGTTTCTCGAATATGGTTGGCATTTTTGTATGCAAAAGGTAGCCTGCCATTGGGTGGGACGTATCTGTCGTCAATGCAATCAACCCTGCCACATCTCCATGGTATCTCCGGACCCCCCATTTCCTCGATCGAAATTTTGCCAGCTAGAGTCCATAAGTCCGAATAGGTCATTGCAGGGTACTTCTGTTTTATAGGTTCAAGTGCAGAACGTGCAATGTCAAGACCACTATTCCCATCATCAGTTATTTCAGGAATAAACCTCATAGTTGCACCGTTCGAACCACCATTACCAGTGAACTTATTGTAAGTAGCGCAGCAATGCCATGCAAGTCGCAAAATTACGGGACCTAAGGAACCATCGTCATAGTCCGGTTTGGGTAATATTTGTTTGATTTCATGCTTGATTTTCTCTATGTATTCTACATCATCAACTGAGATGGATTTGGTAATCCTCTTTGTATTCGAGGTTGATAAAACTTCAATACCCTGTTTCGGTTTTTTAAGACTCAGTTCATGCTTTGGCCTAATCAAAAGCTTAAATCCCGATCTTTGTTTGTTTGCAAATTCAATATTAATGACTCGAGGCTTGCTGGAAGCTGCAGATGGTCTCGCTTTGTCTTGAGTTGGCTTGGATATGATCGAGCTTGGGATTTGGCTTTTTGAATTATCCAACTTAATGCGTTTGGGGCTCGTGTATTTGTATTCGTTAGCTACCGTTTGGGCAAATGAACTGGCTGCAAAATTAAATACCGGTGGATTGAAAACACTCACCGTCCGTTCTTTAGCAGGCTTGATAGTTTCAGTTTGAGTCAGTCTAGAAATAGGGATGATTGTCACATTTTGAACCTCAGGCTTTTCTTCTGCCGGTTTCTGTATTGTAGTCAACACAGGAGGGAGTGTTGGACGTAATTTCGGTTTTGCAGTCGTGAGTGTTTTAGTACCCAAACGCTTGTACAGAAGATAGCTTGAGAACCCCTCATACTTGTTCAATGGGATACCGCCATATTCATAAGTGGACTTCTTTCGGTTGGGACTAAACTTTTTCAAAACACAGAAGGGTGAGTGTTTGACATATCTATCGAATATATAATCTGCCTTCTCGAATATAGAATACAATTCGTCTACGTTTTCTCGAGTCGACTGCCATATTTGTTGACTTTCAATCCCGTCCATCACCCACCGGTACCTTGAATCAATTCTCAGAATAAAGCTATCAGATTTTTTTCCTACTTTGCCTTCTTTGATTACTTCGTCAAACATTGCATCCACGTCTGATCCACCTGCACTGTTTACATCGTACCATCCTTCATCCTCACTGATGCCATTAAACAATCCTCCATTTTCCGTCCCAAAAAATGACAGTAAAATCTTGAAAATTAAATCAAAAACCCCTAGAATAAGCTTATAGTACGATCGGAATCCCAACTCCCATAGCAACAACGGTAAAATAATGTATTTAAACACGAACCTAACAACCGCTTCTAAGCGCCCAAGGACCGTACTTTGCGCTCTACTTGCTTCTTTTTCTCGAGGAACCTGAGTAAAATTTCCCTCCATTATTCCTGTTCTGTATTATACTAAGAAATTTACCTTTCTATGTTTATGTGATCCCTAAAAGGTGGTGGGTGTATAATAGAAGAAAACATACTGATGGTCTCTTGTAAGTGATTTGTGGCTGCAAATCAAAAACCTGCCAAAATAACCCGGGTACCAAAAATTGAAATTATCGGGCCTCACACTACCTATCATCAGATTGCTGGAGATAGAAAATCCATATGGACCAAGTAGGGAAATTAGTAGAATACATTGAAAGCATATATTGAGAGGCAATTAATTGAATAAGTATGTCATTCAAAGGTATCAGGAAGTCGCTTGTTAGGGCGCCTCAAACGTTCCGTCAAAAGTTAAACATGGGAGAGGTAACCCTGGATCCTGTTTACATGGATGCCGAGCGTAGATTTAGAGAATTAGAAATCGAAACTAAGAAGTTGAGTACCGAATCTAAGAGATACTTTGCAGCGGTCAATGGGATGTTAGACTACCAAATAGACTTTTCGAAGGCAATTGAAGAGATTTACAAGCCTATCAGTGGGAGATTGTCCGATCCGAATGCGACGGTGCCCGAGGATAACCCCGATGGGATCCAGGCATCAGAACAATACAGAGAGGTGGTGAAGGAATTGAAAGAGACATTGAAACCAGACTTAGAGTTGATTGAGAAGAGAATTGTCAACCCTGCACAAGATTTGTTGAAGGTGATTGAGTCGATTCGGAAGATGGCCACCAAGAGAGAACACAAACAAGTGGATTTGGATCGTCACAAGAGAACGTACAGCAAGTATGCCGACAAGAAGGAGAGAACCCCTAAGGACGAAGAAAGAATGTACAGTGCCGAAGCTGAAGTGCAGATTGCTCAGGAAGAATACGATTACTACAACAACATGTTGAAGGACGAATTACCAGTGTTGTTCCAGATGCAGTCGGATTTCATCAAGCCTTTGTTCATCAGTTTCTATTACATGCAATTGAACATTTTCTACACGTTGTACACCCGTATGGAAGAATTGAAGATCCCTTATTTCGACTTGAACTCCGATATTGTCGAAGCGTACACCATGAAGAAGGGTGATATTGAAGAACGTGCAGATGCCATCAGCATCACCCACTTCAAAGTGGGGCACGCTAAATCCAAATTAGAAGCCACCAAGAGGCGTCATCAACTCATGGCCCAGGGTACGGCTGGTAGTGGCTCCACCCAAGACCAATTGCCTCCCTACTCCCCTGGAGGTTCCGAATATGGTGTCCAGTCCCCTACAACTCCACAATACGGTGACTACAAATCGCCACAGGGCCCAGGAGCTCAACCAGCCTATGGGGCCCAACCAGCATACGGGGCTCAGCCGGCCTATGGATCCCAACCGGCCTATGGATCCCAAGTAGCGTCACCAACGTCTGGCTCTTACGCAGGCTACAGTTCACCTTCCTCATCCACTGCACCCGTTTCCTCTCCAAATACCTATGGTATGCCTCCTCCAACTCCCCAAAGTGCGCCTGCTGCCCAGACTTGTACAGCATTATATGACTACTCGGCGCAAGCCCAAGGTGACTTAACCTTTACAGCTGGTGCAGTCATCGAAATTTTACAAAGAACCGATGACTCTAACGGGTGGTGGACTGGCAAGTACAACGGTCAAACCGGTGTATTCCCCGGAAACTACGTCCAATTGAATTAATAGTCTTAATAGTTCTATAAATATACTCTGATTATGTTTGTAAATAGACAAATTGATGTCCAAAGTAGTTATAACTGGTATAAGTAAGTCTAGACTTCGCCTTTTTATCTAAACTGTAAAAGATGAGGCTGCAACTCTAACCTGTAAACCACCCATTCATGGTTAAAAATAAAAAAAAGGACATTTAATAACAATAGTACTTACTTTATACCAGCACAAATAAGGTAAAACACGCTTCAAGGCTAACATATCAGTCACAGCGGAGTTAAATTTGAACGACTATAGTTATAGAGGTTTTATAAAACGTACTAGCTGATTTGATTGTATATTATACTGAGGATAGCAATAGCGTTATTCAGTGAGCAGTTATTGCATCAGAGATTTAGAGCTAATAGTTGCGGTTAGAAGTATCAATTAAGTTATAAAAGTGATTCTGGACGCATATATTCCAGGGTATCTTTATAGAGGGTATTTGCAAATATAAAGGAAGCTAGAATTAGACCGCAATTTTGGCTATTTGTGATTATCAGTGATTTGCGGGCGAAAATAGTGAGAGCGTTGACGGAATAAACAGAATATAATAATATGAGCCATTCGCTGTCGCCAACCAACAGGAATTCAATCTTTGGGTGGGTGAAGAACTTAAAGCGGGGCAGTCTTATGTCCAGCGATAGTGTCAACGATGTGACGTCTGACAACGACGCGTTTCCGGGAGAATCAAGATCGCCCACGAAGTCAATAAACAACGGCCAGACCCAGGTGCAGAGTCCGCATTCTCACCAGGAGTTTTTGAGGCCGATGCTACATCACAAGTCAAGATCAACTAATAATTTAAACAGGGTTCGTTCGAACTCCTTCAACCAGTCGGAAAAAAGTTCCACCATAAGACAACACAGAGACTCGTTTTTACAACATAATCCCCTAGTGGATGAAAACAGCAAATATTTTGGAGTCCCTTTGGATGAAGCCATAAAGCAAGCATCTGCTAAAATTTCTATATTGACAAACGAAGACTCCGACCATGTTTTACAATATGGAAAAATCCCTATCGTTGTAGCTAAATGTGGGGTTTATTTAAAGAAGAATGGTTTGAATGTGGAAGGTATATTCAGAGTTGGAGGCTCTTCGAAAAGAGTAAAAGAGCTACAATTAATATTTAATTCACCTCCAGATTTTGGAAAAAAATTGAATTGGGATGGCTACACAGTTCATGACGCTGCTTCAGTTTTAAGAAGGTACTTAAATGCTTTACCAGAACCATTGATAACGTTGGATTTATATGAATCCTTCAGGGAACCATTAAGGAAAAGACAAAGAATAATACACTACATGAAATATAAAGCAGAAAATCCTAATAAGCCATACAAAAAGTCAAATACTGATCTCTCGTTAAATGATGATGATAAGAAGATCGACACGAATAGTGAGTTATTATCTTCAAGCCATTCACAACCCCTAACAGAAACAAATATTGGGAGACTAAACAATTCAAATCTGTCTACCTCGCAAGATACGCTGGAAATTTGGAATTCAAAAAATGCATCGCAAAATGCATCTCTATCGCAGTCTAACCCTCGGTCAAATTCTCAAGCTCAAGCAGACTTGATTCAAACTTCTAGCAAGAGTAATAATGACAGCAAAAGCAAGGCAAAGAAGCTAAAAAATTATACGAAGCTAACCAAGGATATACATGAAGCTATTGATGAATATAAGGCAATGGTTGACAATTTACCGAATTTATCAAAACAATTATTGTTCTATATATTAGATTTATTGGCAATGGTGCAAAATAACGCTAGTGAGAATTTGATGCCGTCTAGAAATTTAGCTGCAATATTCCAACCATCTATTTTATCGCACCCAAGCCATGATATGGATCCGGTAGAATATGCATTATCCCAATTAGTGGTTGAATTTTTAATTCAATATGCTTATATCTTGTTGCCGAATCAAAACCCGTCAAAGCTGGGGTCCAAATCAAAACAAGTTTCATCTACATCGTTGGACAAAACAGGCCAACCTGATTGCGAATCAAACCGGTCACAAGTTGCATCGCTAGGGCAACATGAACAACAACAAGAGCGAAACAAGTTTTCTCAGCAATCAGATGCTACTACCAACAATTTGACATCAACGAGTACAACACCCTTAGATTTTGAATCGCAAGGCTTGTTAAACAAGCCTTTCAAACGGTATCATAGTAAATCCTTATCTTCATCGTCTAACCACGAAGACTTGGTTGGTTATCAGAATAATGTCAATTCGAAATCTTTACCAATTGTAGATTCTGATCATGACTTTGAAATAACTGACGATGAAAATGACGATGAAACACCTGAAGTGGATATGAAAGATTCTGTCATCAGCCCAGATGAGTTTCAATTTGTTACCAATGCCAACCAAGCGTTTGAAGAAAATATCACTCCTAATGTTTCTATTGTTGTTTCGACCCCACCTGTACCGGTGTCTAATACCAAGGTTGAATGATTGGCATACTTTGCTGCGTATTATTGAGGAATTTGGTACGAATACGTGTATATTAATTCTGTTGATTTATACTTCAACCATTTTCTCTTTTACTTCATTACTCTTGAATCTTTTCGTGTACTCATAATTATTCAATCCTTTTGTATAATAGTGTATTTTTAATAATGTATCATTGCAAAAAGAAGCATATAGGTTTTTATAAATGCGTGTAATAACCAATTTATAAAATGTCAAGAATTGGGTATTAACTGAAAAATTCATTAAAATACATATACTCCTTGGTTTAATTCTATTTCTATTTGAGGACAAGCTACTTTAGTTCGAAATGTCAGACATAGAAGCAAGGGATAATGATTCAAATCACGAAGAAAATGAAGTTGATGACTTGTTCGGTGAAGATGAAGAAGAACAACAAACTCAGACGCAAATAGAAAACGACGAAGATAACGAAGACGAAGATGATGCAGATAGAGACGAAGAGGACGAAGAAGAGGAACAAGAGTTGAAAACACTTGATATATCCTTGCCCCGTCACGCTGTTGCGCATAAGCCAGAAGAAGACACATATATGTTGAAAATGCCAGTATTTTTGAATGTAGAAGCACATCCTTTTGACCCTACTGAATTCAAAGAGAAGGTTGGTCAAAATGCAATTGAAAGAAACAATAGTTCTATGAATGCAAAGCAAGTTCAGAACGATCTAAATGCTGAGAAATTATTAAATGAAAACACCATAAGATGGAGATACACAAACAGTGGTAATGATGAAATTATCAAACAATCAAATGCCCATTTCATACAATGGAACGACGGATCGATCTCATTGAAAATAGGAAGTGAAATGTTTGATTATAAAGAATTGCCAGTTTATGATAATTTCTTAGTTAAGACTCATGATGATTACGAAATTTTGCAAAATGATTCGATTATAAATAAACTGGTAAATTTATTACCATCTTCAACTTTCACATCCACTCATAAAAAATTGACCGAAGCGGTTAAGAATATTCAAAAGAAAGATAAGATTTTGAATACGATTACTGATAACGACCCGTTATTGAAGCAAAGAATGGCTGACGAAAATGAGAAGAAGTCGCTTAAGATGAAGAGACAGATGGAAATTAAGAGAAGATTACAGGAAGAAAGATTGGAAAGAACAAACAGTCCAGTTCCCGGCATGAGAAACTCTTACGAGCCAGCTTACGAAAGATTTGAAAGAACATATGGTGATGAAGAATACGACGAAGAGGATGATTTCATTGCTAATGACGAAGAGGAAGAAGAAGAAGGCTTTGATGAAGAGGAAGAAGAAGAAGAATTCGAAAAGGGATCCGAAAGATTGAGAAAATTGAAGGCTGAAGGTGCCTCCAAATATAATAACCGGGACGAAGCAGAAGAAGAGCCGGGACAATCTACTCACCAAAAAGAAGAAGAAAAAGATGATGAAGAAGAAAACAAGCAAGCAAGAAAGAAGCGTAGAATTATTGATTCTGACGACGAAGAATAGATACTGTTCCTCACTCAAACATGACTTAAATAGAAGCTACTTACTTTCTTTATTTTCTTTTATGTATTAATAACAATCAATTTATCTAGCATTTAGTTTATTTTTATTATCAAACTCCCCACTATGAGTATGTGTTCAGTTTAATTCAATTATAGACTTGAATGATTATGCCAATCACCACGAACCATTCCCATCCATACAAAAAAAAGAATTATAAGAACTACTAGATAAAAATATTATGTTCTCGAGTACACACTGCTTCTGTTTGCAACATAATTCGATTATTAGTTCGAAAATACACGTCAAAATACTTCCGTTATACAACTTTATGAATTCTTCATTATATATCCAGAAAACCGAAACATAAACATCTTTCGGTTCCATCAAAAATTGCTTGTGCGCTGATAATACACATTTCTGTTTCGGAAATCCCGAGCTACTTTCGAGTAGCGAGTATTTATATATTTATTATTTCCCCATTTGCTTTGTTCTTTATTTCAGCACTATATTAATGCCAATCGTTAAACCACCCAGATTATTATTGTTAGGTGCACCAGGATCCGGTAAAGGTACTCAAACAAATAAATTATTGCACCAGTTTCCAAAGATAAACTCATTATCATCCGGAGATATTTTGAGAAATCAGATAAACTCGGGCACTAGTATTGGTCTTGAGGCATCTAAGTATATCAAAAATGGTAAATTAGTCCCAGATACGACTATGGTCAAATTAATTACAAAGCGGTTGCATGAAATGGATTGGTTAAACAAAAGATCAGCTTGGTTATTAGATGGGTTTCCTCGTACATCGAACCAGGCTATTGCATTAGATAAAACGTTGCATTCTAATGATTCAAACATCAATATGGTTGTTGAGTTGGATGTAGATCAAAATGTGATTTTAGAAAGAATAGAAGCCAGATGGGTGCATATTCCCAGTGGTAGAGTCTATAATTTAGACTATAATCCACCAAAGGTGCCTTTCAAAGATGATATCACCGGTGAGCCGTTGTCAAAGCGTGAAGACGATACTGCTGAAGTATTCCAAAAAAGGTTAGATCAATATAACAAGGAAATTGGTCCATTGAAGGATTTCTACAATAATAAAGATGTCTTGTATAAAGTTAGCGGGGCTACATCTGATGTCATATTTCCTAAGTTATCTAAGTTGATATTGGAGAGCTTTGGAGTATAAGAATTTACGAGTCCTATATTCAAATATTGCAATTTAATAACACCAGATGATGGGGTTGAAGGTATCAAAAAAAAGCATTGGAAATGCTAAGCATGTCAGGAAAATTATATTATTATTTATAAGGTATTGATAAGGTGTGCCACGGTTATAGCTTGTATATTTAATTAGCATAGTGTATCATATTTCAAATGCATGATAATTGATTTGCTAACTCTTCTATCAATGAAAATGGACTTCGCGAAAGATAATCTGATGCTAAATATTTGGTATTCAAGCTTTTTTACTTGATTCTGAATCAATATTTGGGACAACAACTATCTATAATAAAGCAATGAAGTTCTACATAGATGATTTGCCGATTCTATTTCCATATCCTAGGATTTACCCTGAGCAATATGCTTATATGTGTGATATAAAGAAGACATTAGATGTAGGAGGAAATTGTATATTAGAAATGCCTTCGGGTACTGGAAAGACTATTTCGTTGTTGTCAATAACAGTTGCATACCAAATGCATTATCCTGAGCATAGGAAGGTTGTATATTGTTCCCGTACCATGTCAGAGATTGAAAAAGCGTTGATTGAATTACATAATTTAATGAAGTTTAGAGCTGAGCAATTGGGTTATGTGGAAGATTTCAGAGGGTTGGGTTTAACAAGTAGAAAAAATTTGTGCTTGCATCCTACTATATCGAAAGAACGTAAAGGGATTGTGGTTGATGAGAAATGTAGAAGGATTACAAATGGACAGTTGAAACAAAAGATCGAGAATGGATTAATTAATACAGATCAGCAGGCACAAGATTCAGAAGCTAGCGCATTATGCTCTTTCCATGAGCTGTTGAATGAAATGGATCAACATAATTTGATTCCAGCGGGCGTTTATTCTTTTGATGGGTTGATAAATCACTGTAAAGAAGTTGGTACTTGTCCATATTTTACGGTAAGAAGAATGATACCATTTTGTAATATTATTATTTATTCATATCATTATTTGTTGGACCCGAAAATTGCTGACCGTGTTTCGAAAGAGATATCCAAAGACAGTATAATTATATTTGATGAAGCGCATAATATCGATAACGTCTGTATAGAATCCCTATCCTTAGATCTTACTGATGATACTCTTAAAAGAGCTACACGAGGTGCTAATAAGTTGGGAGATGCGGTAGATGATATGAAGTCACAGGATAGTGAGAAGCTACAGAATGAATATGAAAAATTAGTGGAGGGTTTGAGACAAGCCGAAATAGCTCGTGATGAAGAATTATTCATGAGTAATCCTACATTACCACAAGATTTATTAGATGAGGCAATACCTGGTAATATAAGAAAAGCTGAACACTTCATTTCATTTTTGAAAAGATTTATTGAATATTTGAAAACTAGAATGAAGGTTTTACACGTCATTAGTGAAACTCCTATAAGTTTCTTGCAACATTTAAAAGACCTAACTTTTATAGATAGAAAGCCGTTGAAATTCTGTTCTGAAAGATTGTCACTTTTGGTGAGAACATTGGAACTTTCAGAAATTGAAGATTTTACGGCATTGAAAGATATAGCTACTTTTGCCACATTAGTATCAACTTATGATACAGGATTTCAATTAATCTTGGAGCCTTTTGAAACTGAAGGCTCTACTGTACCGAATCCAATATTGCATTTCACCTGCCTAGATGCATCGATTGCCATCAAGCCTGTGTTTGAACGGTTTTCATCAGTTATTATTACTTCAGGTACTATCTCCCCATTGGATATGTACCCAAAGATGCTTAATTTCCAAACGGTCATTCAAGAATCTTATACGATGACGTTAGCCAGAAGGTCTTTTTTGCCAATGATTGTAACAAAAGGATCAGATCAAGTATCAATATCTTCAAGATTTGAAATAAGGAATGATCCTTCTGTCGTTAGGAACTACGGTTCTCTATTAATTGAATTTGCCAAAATCGTTCCGGATGGAATGGTTGTTTTCTTTCCTTCGTATTTATACATGGAATCCATTATTTCGATGTGGCAAAATATGGGTGTATTAGATGAAGTTTGGAAATACAAATTAATCCTCGTAGAAACACCTGACGCACAAGAGACGTCCTTAGCGTTGGAGACTTATAGAAAGGCATGTTCTAATGGAAGGGGTGCTATATTATTGTCAGTCGCTCGTGGAAAGGTTTCTGAAGGGATTGATTTTGACCATCATTATGGTAGAACAGTTTTGATGATTGGTATTCCATTTCAATACACGGAATCTAGAATTTTGAAGGCACGTTTGGAGTTCTTAAGAGATCATTATCAAATTAGAGAAAACGATTTCTTGTCGTTCGACGCAATGAGACATGCAGCCCAGTGTCTAGGTAGAGTCTTGAGAGGTAAAGATGATTATGGTATTATGGTCTTAGCTGATAGAAGATTTTCACGGAAGAAAAACCAACTACCTAAGTGGATTGCTCAAGCATTGAATGATTCAGATACGAACTTATCCACTGATATGGCTTTAGCTAATGCTAAGAAATTTTTAAGAAGCTTAGCACAACCTACTAATCCTAAGGACCAGGAAGGTGTGTCTGTTTGGAACTTGGACCAGTTAGAGAAATTCCAGAGAGAACATCAGCATCAAATAAATGGTGCCCATGAGAAGGCTAAAGAAGAGAATGGAAAAAATAATGATGATGATGATGATGATGCTTTCATGGATATAGATGATGATGACTTAGCTTTACTTTAATTACGTAAATACTGAATATGTAAATAACGCGAACTCAAATTAAATAAGCTCTGATTCTCTCTGACTGTATAGTATGGCAAGATCAGGTAACGAATATTATCCAGTTATTCTTGATATAAACTCAACATTCATACGTGCGGGATTTGCCGGTGATGCTTTGCCTTTGGAAACAATTAAATCAGTTGATCAAAATGATCAAAGCACTCTAAATAAGGTACCTCCGTACTATGACTTAAACGATGCCTCAATGACTTCTGAACAGCTTGATATGGTTATGTCATGTATGTTTTCATCCAACCCGGTTATTAAACAGGTATCAGAGATATATACGAAAGATTCTAGTCATACAAGGCATTCAAAGAGTATATCAGGAAATAATTTGCAATTAAAACTCTCAGATATTTTTATCAATCATTTGCTAGTTTCACCTCCTAGAACCAAAATAATTATAGTTGATTCTGGCTATTCCATATTAGAAAAATCCAGAATTTCAAAAATTTTGCTATTTAAGATTGGAGTTAAATCAATTATTTGGACACCAGAATCTACTTTGCATGTTATCGGGGCAAATAGTATCAACGGCCTAGTAGTGAATGTTCAGTGGGACTCATTGCTTTTAAATTCAATTATAGACCTCAGAATTATAAGCCATTTAGAGCAGTTTGATAAGTTCAATGGTAATACTTTACATTATAAAATAATAGAGAAATTGTTAGAATTGGAAGATGAAGATGTAAACACATTGCTTAAGAACACTAACTTATTTGATATTATCGAAAATTTTATTGCAAATGCAGTATATGTCAGGTCTATAGATGACAAAGATGATGATTCCAGGTTATTCCAAATTTCAGAAGGCATCAATATCCCCAATCGGCTACGATACGAAGTCGTAGAATCACTATTTTTTGAGGAAGACAATTTATCCCAGTTAATAGCGTCCAATGTAATAAAATTACCAATCGACTTAAGACCAATCTTACTAGAAAACATAATAATAACTGGAGAAATGTCCAATATTCCTGGTTTCAAATCACGACTTATACGAGAAGTTAGAAATTTGGTCACCGGTATTGTAAGTTGCAAAATTACTTTAGGTCTGTGGGCCGGTTGCTCTTTATATTGTTCTACTACATTAGTACGACAGAATGAAGAAGTGTGGAAATCTCAAGAGATAACGAAAGAAACTCTAACTAAATCAATCTCACCCGATGGAATTTACTTAACAAACATACCAGATGCATTCAATTCACTATATAAAAATAGCTCAACGTAAAAGCACACAAATGCATATATATATTTATAGCTAGTCCGTTAATTATCTGTTTTGTTGTCATTTCATAATTTAATTTACAGCTAGTCTGAATAGCTTTCATCTTTGTTTCTTAACTATTAATCCGGCGCCTTTGTCTTGCCTCATACTTCGGAAAGTAATACTTCAAACCATTTAAGAACTTTCTTAAAACCGGCACTCGTGAAGCTGAGGCCTCTTTATAATCCTTATCAATTGACTTTATTTCTTCCGTCAATAAATTTAACAACATAGAATCGTCATCAACTTCCTCATAAGAGTTAGCTTCGTTACAAAATGGAGCTGCCAGAGTATTTTGTCTTTTCGGCAAAGTTGATAAGTCTAATTTCGAGTTTTCATCCGCCAATGGTTGGTTCAATATTAGTACACTTCTACTTATAGACTCAGGATTCAATAAATCCGAAAGCAAGGTTGTACACAGATCTTGCTTTTCAATATTTGGTTTTAATTTTGTATGGTAAAATTCGGAAGTTATACTGGATCTAGCTGTTGCAACACTTGACTCTAATGGTTGTCGATGCAATAGAGTATCCCGTTTCTTTTCATAAAATATCTTATTGCCTTTGGCATTTACATATATGTTTTCCTTGGATTTATTTTCTTTAGATTCTTCGGTGTCCATTTTGCAATTTCCATTAGGCTTATCAGAAGATAATGGGGTTTCATTTCGAGAAGCGTATGGCGAATTCTTTGAATATCTAGTGTTCTTGTAGTTTTCTAAATCAGTCTGATTCAATGGTAATCTATAAATCGGATTTCCTCTTGAATTTGAAGGTTTTAATAAATCTCCACGAGACAAGTCAAACATCATCTCTGTTTGTCCACTTACACTATGATCCATCAGAAAACAATTGTCCTATATGTCTGAATTAGTTCTAATAAATTTGAATATAATGTATTGTCTTTATTTAATGGTTTCCTATTCATGCCTTATTAGTTTGCAATATTAATAGGTCAGATTCTAAAAACCACAAATGCAAAAAAATAAAGATAAACCTTCTTAAAGGGCAATTTACATATGAAATAAACCGATAATCAAGCAACCCAATATTGTACTATCTTATAAATTCTAGGTAATAAACTGTCATCTTGTTTGTGTATGTAACTTATAAGTCTGTTGTGCTTAAACCCATCTTGGGTTTTAGATGCACTATGCTTATTGGAACTCAATTCTTGTTTTTATCTCTAATTAATATTATCCCTATCATTTTATTTCACCACTTTTCATTAAACTACCTACATAGTCTTGTAAATATTGATTTTCGTTATCGTACTTATCACTTAACGTTTTAGTATCACGAATATTTGAGATTAAAGTGGCGATTTTCAGTTTTAAGCTTAAAATTTCGGTCACCATTTCTTCATCCAGCTTCTTAGAATCTCTGTTTATGTCATTATTAACATTTGTCCCCTTTTCTATAGCCTTAGACAAAGCATTATCGTCAGCGAAATCAGAACTATTTGGTTCTTCTGGTCTGGCCAGACTACTCACAGACTTTTCTATTGTCGTAACATCTATTTTCTTTTCAACCTTCAGGACACCCTGGTTATTTTCACTACTTTCAATTGGTAATTCTGACATTTAAGCTTATTACTTACAGTGTATATGAATAGTATAACAATAGTCAAACCATTTAAGTGGCATCAAACAAAATTTTGGTTTTCACACTATCCTCAGTTCAAGGACAGTTCTTGGGATACGGAAACAATGGCAAGCGATATAACCAACGCAATTGGAAAGTCTGTAAAGCACTGTCCATAGGCAATTACACATACAATTGATTAGACGTAGCAAACGCGGAATATTGCAGAATGTCTTGGGATGGATTTAAGAAAGCTGTTCATCGGGCTGGGGCTGCAGTCACAGTTAAGGAAGTAGATAAAACAATTGATAAAGATTTTGACGTAGAAGAAAGAAGATACAAGACTTTAAGAACAGCAGGTATGAACTTGCAAAAGGCATCTAAGGGTTATTTAGACTCGTTGAGAGCAGTCACTGCATCACAAGTAACAATTTCAGAGATTGTGTCTAACTTGTACGAAGAAGCAAAGCAGGGAGCGTCCATTTATTCAAACGTTGGTAACTACTACTCGCAATGTGTTAGAGACCTTGACGAAGAAACGGTTAAACAGGTCGATGGGCCGTTTAGAGAGACAATTTTGGATCCAATAACAAAATTTACTGGCTATTTTACGGAAATTGATGAAGCCATCAAGAAGAGAGCACACAAGAAAGTTGACTATGACCAATGTAAAGCAAAGGTTAGAAAGTTGATTGATAAGCCGGCCAAAGATGCTGGTAAGTTACCAAGAGCAGAGAAAGAATTGGCAGTCGCCAAGGATATTTTTGAAGATTTAAACGAAAGATTAAAGCAAGAATTGCCCCAAATTATCTCCTTGAGAGTGCCTTACCTCGATCCATCATTTGAAAGTTTAGTAAAGATTCAGTTAAGATTCTGTACTGAAGGGTATTCAAGGTTGGCTCAACTTCAACAACATTTGGACCAAGCCTCAAGAGATGAATATGCAAATGGTGTTCTAGATGGTAGAATTGATGATCTACTTGCCCAAATGGGAACTTTAAATATTACTTCATTGGGGCAAAAATAGTTTGTATAATTTATATAATAATGCTCCTAATATAATTAGTATGGTGCATATTGACCCTTTTTTTTGTAGCTCAATATCTGGTAATATTTTTTTTTGGCGAGACCCTACACTTTCTTACTCGAATTTGCATTAAAATTATTGGTTTATCCTCTGTGGATATCATTACTATTGTTTGTTCAATTGTATAAGTTGTTGTATTACTCTTTCGGGTTTACTGTATTAATAGTTCTTGGAAGCAATAATACTACACTTATCTGCTATAATCAATTACTAAGGTACTAATTTAAGACAACCTTCAAAAGTTAAGGTCACCGACTGGGGACAAAGAAATATATTTTACAATCTCATAGCATGGTGTACAAATGGTCATTTTCAAATTTTGTTAAGAGGTTAATTAATTTTATAATATCTTACCCGAGATTGACGGTATTGTTGCCAACAATATTCATATTCACAATTTCTTATCATGTAACCTACGATTATACAATCAGAGAGATAAATTGTCGAATTGCATCTTATTTTGGGCCAGATATAGTTTCAGTGGATCACAATAATGTGAGGTTGAACAATTTAATACACTTACTAAATGCTGGCAATCCAGAAAACTTAACATTAACAACATTTGAATTTTCAAACAAAAATTTAAAGCAAAAGCGAAATGCTTTGACCTTTGAGTTTTTAAATGAATTGAAAAATCTACATGTTGATTTAACGAAAGAAAGCGACGATATAGTCATAATTTCACCCTTATCAAGGTGGACCATGGATTGGAATATTAATGAAGAAGCTGCAGATGAGCGCAGACTAGAATTTAATAATTCTATTCTAAAAGCGATTAATAATATGGATTACATTCAAATGGATTCCCTATTGGTTAATAATATAAATAAGGTAAACCATTTAATCACTAGCTGCGAAATCATTAAATTTTATGTTGTTCATCATTCAGATCGTGATATTAAGACCCCTACGATCAAAGCCATTAATAATTCAACATATTTGAGAATTCTTTCACTATCATCAACCACGAATATCGAAGATTTAGTCAATTTCGTGTACTATTCTCATATTCAAAATGGATCATCCTCAATTACGAACCTATTATTTTCATTAACTAGTGGGATCGAAATAATTGTATTACTGGTATTCATCCTTTATATTTTAATTGCTATTTCCAATCAACATAAGATCAGATCGAATGGAGGATTATTGATAGCTTGGGTAGTAGAAGTTATAATTTCTGGTGGAGCTTCTATAAGTGTCTTAGATTATTTTCATGATTATAAATCTAGAATGTCGGAACATCTGACTACATTTACTGCAGGTGCCTATATATTTACCATAATGGTTGTGAGTTCGAGAAATTTATTTAGGATTATCAATGATTTAGCTGGAGATGATTATGTCAATAATTCACACGAAAATATTCATAAAAAACTATACAAGTTCTACCTTGGTATAAACAATAATGATAATGATGATAATGAAAGTTTAAAACGAGTATTTTCTTTCTTGAATTCCTATAAAATTGGCAGAAATGTACAGCAGTATTTTCGCATCACTCCTAACATAAGTAAGGTGCTTATAATTGATATTGTTTTAATTGCGATACTAAAGATTTTTGGCTTATACTTCTTTAATTTTGCATTGAATTCTCCATTCAAAGACTATTTAACTACAAGACTAAGCTATTTCCTAGAAGCGGTATGCATTGCGCTAATTATAGACCATTTTTTACAATTAACATATCTAGTGGGGATAATAATTATTGATTTGAAAAGATATGATTTAACCGATTTATTGAATTATCAATCATTGCGGATGGACGAAACGTTGGCTTTACCTAATAATTCTATTGAAAGTAATTTCTTCTCATGCATCTTATTAAAGTTAAATTACCCATCACATTTAAGGCCTAGCCGAAATTCATTGAGGTACAAAATGGGCGAATATTTACTAAAAATCAGATACTCAACATCATTGGCTACGTGGGTGGTCATATTGCCGCTCATAGAGTCTGTATACCTTTTGGGTATTTTTATGAATTGGCGAATTATGCTTCCATTTAATTCTATAACTAACCCTAAAGGAATTAGTAGCATAACGGCCTTAAAAGTCTTACGCGATGAAAATGATTGGATTTTTTACGTCGAGTATTTATGCATACTTGTATTTATAGTGGCTATTTCAACCTTGACATTCAAACTAACACATTCCGATTCGCTAGGCACCAAACCAATAAAAATTGAAGAAAGCGATTTTGAGCTTGAAGATAAGAATATATTTAAATGCATTGATTTAGTTAATTTAAAAGATGGACACAACCTTGATGTTTTAAAAATTGCAACCAATAGGAATAGCCCTTTCATAGTTTCCATTGGGCTAGACCATAAGATATTAATATGGTCGCCCTTAATTAAGCCCATCCTGAAGCCTATCGACATATCAAGTACACTCAATGATAACGAAAATAAAGAATTCTGGCCGATTAATCATATCAATATTAGTAATGATGGTAGTTATATTATTTTGATCAATTATAAAAACAAGTTAATCAAATGTTTTGAAAGAAAGAAGTTGAGCTGTTCCTGGAAATGTGAATTACCACCTATTTCAAGTAATAGAATTAAAGTCTTGGAATCGTTTTTCAGGAAGAGAACTGTTCCAGGGTTTTTGAGCAGGAAGATTTTGCAACAAAAAAAAACAGATAGAATTAATAGAAGAGGTAGTGCTGCATCTCTTTCATCAATGAATTCTAATATGAATGGAAACTTTCCTTTTCCCGTGGATTCACCAGAACCATCTATAATGATGCAACCCCTTGATGAGAAAATTGAGAATAATAGCCAAGATCAAAATTATGAATCAGAATTAGAAAAGCAATTAAATAGAGATGATTTTATAATGGTTCTAGAAACAGGTGAATTGATTACAATATCTTGTAATACTGGGGATTTGAAAACATTTGATATATTTGCTTCGGTTTATAATTCATCTGAAGGGAAAAAATTAAATTCAGTAAAAAAATTAATCACTCCGAGAGTTAACGATAGGATCGTTTGTCATGTGAATAACTATGATATAATTGTCGCCAGCATTATAAATAATACATGGAAGTTTAGAATATTGAAAGTTCATGAGGGATTTTATAATAAAGGAATTCATTTTGCAATGCCTCCCCCTATGTCAGCAAGCAGCTCATTGAATGAAATAAATGACTTTTCATTTATTTATAACCAAAAAAGTATTCACGAAAATAATGAAAACAGTGAGATCATTACAAATTCAAAAATGCAAATCAACAAGCCTACAATTGTGACTGTTGAATTTGTTGGTATGATTATCCGGGTCAATAATTTGGTAGCCGAAATAATCGATGTGCAAGGAGGTATAATTTTAAAGAGGTTTCATGTAGGGCGTTTTAAACCACTGACATTCAAAGTTTCTCACCTGGAACCAACTCATTGTAAGTTTTGTGGATGTGTTTCCATTCAATCCTTTTCAATCTTGTATGAAGACTATGATAATAGTACGGTCATAGTGCATACCTTTAAGATAGACGCTAATCGATCCAAGAATGATATATGTCTAAGAGTAGAAAGAGATCCCAGAGAAATTAGATGCGTTGGGTTTAGTTCTGTCACTGAACATCTATTTTGGTATGAGAATCTCGAATGTTGGCAATTAACTGACCTTAACATGATTATCGGAATAAAGAAGAAATGTGTCCAAGAGGAGGAGGATATGGAAATTGAGGATGAGGATACAACTTCAAGGTCCAATGGTATAGGATCGTTAATCGAAAACAGTGGGTTACAATCGTTACGATTAAGGAAACGGAAATCCCCTACACCTAAGTTGTACCAAGAAGCCTGGGAAGGATTTATTGTTACCCTTATTGACGGAAATCTCCTATACTACCAAGTCCCTTCCTCTCAAACTGACGGCTTAATTGTAAATAAGGTTACTTGTTCTGAAAAATTTGGCTATAAGTCAATGATAGTGAATTTTGGTAATGTTATCAAAATCATTTACTTGGGTAACGACAAATTAATTGAAAACAACCTTTATTACTCCGGATCCACCTCCAGGTCTTTGCCATTGCCTACTAATAACCTCAAAGTGCCGCAATTGAACCAAGACTTACTATTTATTAATAAGAGATCGAGACACAGTAACCTCCATAGGTTATAACCTTGCGTCTTATTATGTACATATTTCTCGACCTTGAATCAAGTCCCTTGTTCTTGTGTATATCAATACATGATTGTATATTCTGGTACTGCCTACAATTAATATCTTCTATGACGAATCCTAATAGAAAATATTTAATATTGTTCATTAATAATTCAAATAATTGTCGTATAGATCCAACCTTGTCGCTTAAGAATTAAAAATATTTAATTGCTGTAGTTACTACATAAAGCGTTTCAATTGATAACCATTCGCATCATATTATGCAATTCTGTCTGACATCTCGTCCCTAAAACGTTAGCAATTCACCTAATCGGCATAACGGCATAAAGGCATTCTGTGATCGTATGATCCGAGTAGCCATTTCAGCCATTTCGCTGCATATAAAACGTGACTGTATACGATTTCTTTTTTTCTCTCGTTAAGGATTTGCTTGCGGGATTATCCGATATCTTGGGTATAAAAGTACACATATACTATCGATCTTTATTATACATATTGCTTAAACTAATCAGATTAAGCTTAGATATCTTAGAAATAAATCAAATATACTAAAAATGAAAATTCTTTCGGACGAAGAGAAAAATGCTCATTGGAATGCAGTTTTATACGAAGGTACTAAAGGATGTGTTGTTGGAGCTGGTGTTGCATTTGGTTTAGTTACCTACATGAAAAAGAGACATGCAGTAAACTATGCCAGAATGAATACCTCTGTCAAAAGTGCTTTATGGGCAATGCCAGTTATTACTGTCGGTGCTTTCTATGCAGATGAAGGATCCGTTAAATTCGATGAGGAATGGCATAGATCTTCTTATTTGAAGCAAAAGGAAGATGAGGAATTGAATAAATGGAACCAATTGGCATGGTCAGATAAATTATTCTACAAGGTTAATAACAACAAATACAGTCTTATTATTGGTGCATGGGCAGCTTCGCTTTATGGTTCATGGAAGATTGTTAACAAGGACAAGTACATGACTAGCGCCCAGAAGGCAGTTCAAGCGAGAGTTTATGCACAAGCAATTACTGTTGTTTTGTTGCTTGGTACCATCTTGATGAGTTTGCATGAACAAGAATTGAAGAAGAAAGAGCCTGCACCTGTTCCAGAATGGAAAAAGTATTTGCTAGAACAAAATGAAAAGAAAAAGGAGCAAGATACTAGTGCTACTCCATCTACATAACTGCTTTCTAATTAATCGCTTGTGCTATCTAGATAAATGATAATTGTATATATAATAAATGACGACTGATGTTTTATGCTTCTTGTAGTGGTCGTAGTGGGAAAAAATGTGCTGGAAAAAAAAAGCATCGAAATTCTCAAAAAAATGATTTCGCCCAGGATCGAACTGGGGACGTTCTGCGTGTTAAGCAGATGCCATAACCAACTAGACCACGAAACCACTTGTTGAAGTTGATTTTCCTATGAATTTATATCTTACTCTAAGCAGTTTCTATTTTTTTTGCATCAACTCACTATGTGACCATATACAAAAGTAATCGGTTGAAACTTAGCTTATCCTGTTTCAAGGCTATAATAAAACTAATTAGGTTTAAAAGCCTTATGTTAGAAGAATATTTGATGTTAATTTATTATGATCTTAATCTTTGAATATAGCAGTAATGAATAACGAATGGTGATAATTAGGCATGGATTATCACAGCTTTAAAAAATAAAGATTACCATTGTTGTTAGAATTTAAGTATTTCTAATTAAAACATTAATAGTAATAATTAAGTAAAATCTATGTTTTTTTAGAAGAAAGAGTTTGCAACTTTTACAATTTTGTCAAAGATATAAAGGTTCTACTTGATAAAGATGATACATGCAATAACTCGTAACTGACAATACACGAATAATTCGAATAGGCCCTTTCAACCCTACCCTATTTGTTTATCTACTTAGTTAAAGTCTAGTATCTTCAGCTATATTTTGTTTGGTTTTGTGTCATTTTTCTCCACAAGTAGAGGCATATGATTAAACCAAGCAAACATGAAATATCTCTGTATATTCTTTCTATTCAATAGGTTGTTAATTTAGGAGAATCATCAATATGACAGATAAATATGATGAATCGCTATATGCCTCATTTCAACCTTCTGACGCTAAGTTATTAACTTCCACTTCTCATACCCAATTGTTAACTGAGTATCCAATCTTATCATCAGCATTATCCAATATATTTCCCTACCTATTGTTAATTGACAATTTTCTAGAAATTGTAACGTGGACAAATGAAGATCCCTATCAAAATTTTATTTTGATAGTACTATACTCGGTTATTATTATGTATTGGCAAATTCTAAGCTTTATAATCATGCCGATTTTGATGTCAGTTACGTTTGCATGTCTTGTTTGGTCAATTAGCTCTATTATTTATGATTCGAAGTTCAACGAAAAACCAACAATTGATGAAGTTTTGCACACACTACATAATATTACTATCAGGTTTGAAATGCTTTTGAGACCAATCCAACATTTCCCTATGAAGAAAAGAAATTTTGTAAAAGCATTCATCATGACATTTTTACTAACTCCTATCCACGTTGTATTGGTCAAATATGTCATACCTCCTCAGAAAGTTTTATGGTTGACAGGGTTATTTATGTTAACATACCATTCTCCTTGGTCTTTCTCAATAAGACGATTGCTTTGGAGATCGGTTTATATTAGAATTTTCGCATTCTATGTTACAGGCTTGGATATCAAGTTGGACAGGACGAACCAAAATCATTTTCTGAATATTTCTAGGATTCATAGTCCTAACACTAGTGATATTGAAGAGTTTGATGAGAATCAAAAACCTTTGCAATTGTTAGGTGATTTCAAAATATTGAAGAAAACAATATTATCTCCGACCCAACTAAGCCAGGTGGTAACGTTTGAAATTTTAGAAAATGAAAGAAGATGGGTAGGTGTCGGATGGTCAAAATTTGTGTTACCTGGTGATAGACCCAGCTATTGCTATGAACAATCAATGAAACCGTCCCCATCTATTTCCAATGATAATGACTTCAAATTTCCAATATTCGAAAATGACTTGTATACGTATATGTGGGAATGGTTAGAAACGAACTGGAAAGTTGACAAAGAATTCAACAAGGGTAAAGGTTCTGAGGGCTGGGTTTATTACGATAATAACTGGTCAAATGAATCATTTTCTGATGGTTTTTCTAAGTTCACCAGATCAAGAAAATGGACTAGAAGAGCTACATTGACTATTGATAAGCAAGATATTGTTTATGATGAATGATTATTTGTTATTGATAAGGATATATATATATTATTTATTTTAAGCACTGATCATGATTAGAGACTTGCAAACCATAAGCGCATTAATTACACAAAATTTGAATCGCAGATATTTTTTTTTATATCATCTCTTAATTTTTCTTTACTATTAGAAAGCATCAACCAACTATTTAAATAGCAGAACATCATGAGTGCTACATCACAAATGGAATACAAAGATATCCCTAAAAGATATATAGATCCATCTACTCCAAAGGATGTGGGTGAAGGAAGCAGAGTTAATGGTAAAGACTGGAAAATTAAAAAGGATGCCTTCAGAGTGAAGACTCTCGGTGTAAAAAAATTGAGTACATGGGAGCAAAGAGAACAAAAAAAGTTAGAACAACAACAATACAAAGTAAGATTGCAAGAATTAAAACAAGAAAAGGAAGATGCCAAAAACCAAAGAATTTCTGATTTGAAGAGAAGAAGAGAAATTAAGGCCGAAAAGGAAAGATACGAAAAGATGGCCGTCAAGATGCATGCTAAGAAGGTTGAAAGAATGAGAAAGAGGGAAAAGAGAAACAAGATGTTGAAGGAACGTTAGTTCTTTTATGGTTTCATTTTCTCTGTCGGCTTGCTCTTCATGCGACTCGTTCATTTCTTTTAGCATTTTTTAGCATAATATTTTGTTGTTGGGTTTACAATGCCGCTGTCAGTTGTACCGTTTATCTAATTGTATATTAACTTTATTACAATACAATTACATGTATTTATCCATTAGCATGAATAGCAGCAAATGTTTTATAGATGCGTGCGCACACCACAGCAAAAGGAAAGGTAGATGGTGTTACCCGGATTTTAGTTCAACTTATATAAATAGCTCGCATTCCCGCGGTTTTTTGCAAGTTGGGTAGTGAGGTATTGATAAGGGCTACATTTTGTGTGATTTTTTTTTTGCAACATTATACTGGAGACAAACGGACAATATATAATATCTCCATATACTATAGAACATTCATTTCATTATTACCATATATAGTCCAATTTTAATTGTATATTATTAGTTTTTCAGCTTTTCTCAGCAGAAAAAAATAAAAAAAATCTATTGATAAGGGATACATTTATTTGTTATCCATATATATATACATACTATTGATACAAAAATTATCGATGGATTCTTTGAAGTTGCCAACCACAGCAGCACAGGCCAAAGCATTCACTGCACCAAATTCCTTGTTGTTCCCGCTGGGGATTGATGGGCAAAGGACGGACATGAATCAAGAAGCTACTCCCAAGAAGGAAGAAGACACATCGGATACAATCGTCGAGCCAAATCAAGACGAGGATGATGGTGCCACGTCGGGTATAGTGCCCACGCTACAAAATATTGTGGCTACTGTCAACTTGGACTGTCGGTTGGATTTAAAGACCATTGCTTTACACGCTCGTAATGCCGAATACAATCCTAAGCGTTTTGCGGCTGTTATTATGAGAATCAGAGAACCTAAAACCACCGCCTTGATCTTCGCATCGGGTAAAATGGTTGTCACAGGTGCCAAATCCGAAGATGATTCTAAATTAGCCTCAAGAAAATATGCCAGAATCATTCAAAAATTAGGGTTCAACGCCAAGTTCACTGATTTTAAAATTCAAAATATTGTCGGATCTTGTGATGTCAAGTTTCCAATAAGATTGGAAGGTTTAGCATTTTCGCATGGTACTTTCTCGTCTTATGAACCCGAATTATTCCCCGGTTTAATTTATAGAATGGTTAAGCCTAAGATTGTGTTGTTAATCTTCGTTTCTGGTAAAATTGTTTTAACTGGTGCAAAACAAAGAGAAGAAATTTACGCTGCATTTGAAGCAATATACCCGGTCTTGAGTGAATTCCGTAAATCTTAATCAATCTCTGTATAAGAGAATTCCACTTTTGCAACCACGATTTATTAAAAAAAAAAATGACGACAGGAACTGTGTATTCTAGCTTTATTATTCTTCTTTGCATCATTGAGAGTGTTTTTTTGTACTTCATTCCTTCACATTATATTTTCACTCTTTCAAATCCTAACCACATTAACTGGAAACCTTAACTATTTCATATAGATATAATAAAAAAATTATAATTCCGCCACATGTCTATTAATTGTAGCTTGTTATTTAACCCATTTAAAAAATGAACATTGGTGTTCTCCTATTTTAGAACCATTATCATTTCCAGCGTCAGCAAAAGTATTTCTTGGACAGCACCAGAACTTCTTTCCTCGAGTTTTGGTGTTCAGCAAACTTGTTTTCAACTTGCACATATCACCATGATAGCATTTAGGAGCTTCGCCGTGAATTAAGTTTGATATCGATATTATCGATGTAGGTTTCATATTTGTAGACTCCTTTATAGGTTTATCAACAGGCTTAGTCTCAGATTGTGAGGCAGGATCATTTTCTAAATTAGATGAAGTCATATTCTCCTTAAAGAAAAAGTTTCCTATTGATGTTTGCTGATTTTTAGGAGTCGGTGTTGTTTTTCTAGTCACATATTCTAACTTCCTCTTTTTTGATGAAGAGTCACTATCAGTTTCTAATCTTTTATTTTTCGACTGACTAACGCTAAACATTTGAGAAATATCACGGTGTTTGACTAATTTATAAAATAGTCTGGCTTCAAATTTAAGTTTAATTGGTGTTTCTATTTCTAAAGGTTTCGAGTCTGTAATGTCAAAATCAGTAAAGGTCGGACAATGATCAGAACCCATTATATATGGCCAAATATTGGCCTTTGAAATGCTTTTCAATAAGATATCAGAGCTTGTTAAGATTAAATCAATCCTTGACCCATAATTTGATTGCCGGGCTCCAGTTAATGTGTTCCAAACTGTATACATCCCCATCCTTCTTCCTTGTGCATACCTTGTTGTATCATAGAGAAACTGAAGCTCTGACCGATTGACAGGAGATGGATCTAATGTGGAGATTGTATACGAATTAAGCAATTTTCTGGCAGGCGTTGAAGCTTTGAAGTCTAAGCATTCTTGGTGGTTGATCTCTTCAAATTCCATACCATTATTTCCCTCCCCATTACGTACGGGTTTTACTAACCTTTGCTTCACTTTCTCGTTGATTGTATCAGCATGATCTATTAAGTCAAGACTCACATTAATATCACCTATTATAATAACATCTTTTCCCATAGCATGCTTTAGATAATAGCATCTATCAAGTAAAATTTTTAAGAATTCAAGTCGATACGATTCGCCCTCTTCAGAGCCAACTGAATTTGCTGGACAATACAATGAAAATACCACAACATTACAAGCAAGCTCAATACAAACGCATCTACCCTCACTATCTAGTTTTAATGCTTTGGTTTCTTCAATATCTTCGGGATACCCTCCTATCAGTAACTCTTTGTCTAGCTCTCTGTATCGCAATTGTGGGTAATCAGCGGAATTTAAGAAACCTGTAAGACCCTCTTCTGCCTTTATGACGGTCAAATTGTGCCTAAGTAATTCCGGTTCTTCTGGTTCTGGAATTCGTACAAACAATCCAACTCCACTATAGCCTTTTTTAGTTTTTGGAAGCGAAATATATGACTTAAATTTACTTAGGTTTCCAATATTAACGCTTGATATATTATTTGGTGAGAGTTTCAACTCTTGAAGTGATATTACATCCCCTTGCAACAGACTAAAAAAGAGATCATAATTCTGTTGGAACTGATTCCAAGGGTGATAGTTGAATAAAGTTTTAGCACCGTTGACATTAAACGATATGTATCGAATAGTATTGCTACTATTTTTATTCTCTATTTTATTCAAAGGTTCATTCCGCTGAACCTTTTCCACTTTACCTTCCATTAGCAATGAAATATTTGCATATATCTTCAATCTACAAGTAAATAAATCATATTTATGTTTTGGTTGTGTCGTAATGTCGTATTACTGCATGATGTCGTTTACTTCACTTGTCGATGACTCTTGATGAAAAGTCAAAATATAATAGCAGTCAAGTTGAAATCAGTCGCATCAACCACGAGGTTTGCTTCTTATATCTAATGATATTAGGTCTTTCATGGTCTTAAATACACATACATGAATTACATGTAATGAGTATACTTCTCATTATAAATAAAAAAAAGCAGAACATGTTCCATACAATCGATTATGCGGACTATACGGGTTATTATACCGGTCAATTGTTCAGGTCCATTGATCCAGTCTACTAATCCATATAGAAAATGTATACTCGTATTTTACTTATGTTCTTTCTAAAACCCGAAAACAAAATATGGAAAAAAACGCGTCTTGAAAATTTTTGTATCCTCGCGTTGAATTAAAAAGACTGGTTAGTTTACTTCTGTTCACTTCAAAGAAAAGATTTATTAAATAACTAGGCGTGCCATTAGAAAAAATTGCTAAAGGGTGAATAGATATAATGATTGACAGTGATGCCTTTATGAAAAGCTCACCTTTTCAAGTTATTCATGGTGCAGATTCTGATCTTAACTATAACTTGAAGAATACCACACCAGATTTACTTAAGTTCCAATTGCAAGAGCAATACAGAAACAAGTTGTCAGACTTAAACGAAAATCATCATGATTTGCCAAATTTGAACTTGTTATATACCCAGTTCCTTCAGGGATCATTTAATAACCATTTACAAACAAACATAGATCAAGAACACATTTCGCTTGACGCTGACGTACCCAGCTTATCGTCAACTCCAATCCCGGAAGCTGAAGATGAAGAATATACCCGTATGGATGATAATAAGGCTAACTATATAAATTTACGTGTCTTGATTGAAAATTCAGTGTTCGACACTAGCAAAATAAATAAAGATGCAATACTTACATTACCAAGGTTAAAGAAGTTGAAACAAGAAATTGAGGATAAGAAAGAATTTAAACAATACTTACTATCGAGATATGGAATAGCCCAACAATTTTTTTCGGACATAATAGATTCAGATAAGCAGGAAAGCTTAAAATTAGATGCTCCGTTATTATTAAAGTTTTTAAAACTGAACAATTATTTACAAAAGCAACTTTTGCAAGTTAGTGGTGATTTAGACAATTTGATATTGCAACTAAACAATCATAACTTGACATGTTTGGTATTGGGTTACATTGAAGACATTAAATTGACGTCTTTGTCTGTTACAGGGCCTCCTTTATCTACTTCATCTCCCTTTACATCACCTAAAAGAAATCCAAAATCCTCTTCATTACTTATAGAACAACCACTGAAACTGATTAGTAAGACATTTGATACCTTATTTTCACATATTGCGTCTATTGCAGTGCAGCGCAATATTCAATTGCCACAACCATCAACAAACACCGACCCAGAAACTATACAATCACGCATTCAATGGGCTCAAGATTGCATTGATACGATTCTTTCCGTTCGACAACCGGGCCTGCTGCGTATACCAGCCAGTGAAAAATCAATGAACATATCAACCGACGAAATATCTTCTAGAAACGACTTTTCCGAAGATCATTCATTTTTAAATGAATCTTCTATTACATCTGCTTCACCACAGAAAGCTCAAAATAGTGGAAAACTTCTTGCTGAATATAAAACCGCGTTAAATGACTTGAGATTTTCCCATCAGTATTTAGCGAAAGAATACGAACATTCGAGGGAAAGCTCACTCAAAGCGATTCAAGAATATCGTAAGAAAAACTCTATTTTAGAAAAGGAATTAAATAAATTGAAGAGCGCAGATACGTCCAATCAACCCAGTATCATACATGATGGTTCTAATAGTATTGATGCTAAGGACAGAGAAATATCGAAACTTCGTAAGGAGCTTAGCTTGCTAAAGGTTGATAAATTGGGAATAAAGAATAGTGCTGCTAAGCTTGCTTCTCCTACTGGTTCTAATAGTGCATTATCGGCATTGTCGCCAATAACGAGTAGTTTTCCAACGACTTATACCGACACTGATGGCAATGAAGATGAACCTGTAATACCTAGTAGACCCACATCAATAAGTTCCAACTCAACCAGTAATGGTATTTTGAGGACAGAATTTAAGAAGATAGTAGAAGATATCCATGAACAATATGAATTGCAATTAACCGAAGAGAGATACAAAAGAAAGCAATTGCAAGACAAAATCCAAGCATATAATTCTATACAGAAATAGACAACACTAAAGTTCCTTCATTTTTATATAACGTATATTATTTCTGTTGTATTTTATTTAATGTAATATAAGAGTACATTTTCTCTTGGAGAGTCATATGATAAGAATAACCTGTAACTATAAATTTTCCACGCGTATTTATTTTTAGTTGATTACTATCGATTACAATTTATACAATATAGACGCTTGATATGAGCAATATACAATGGCTCATTTAATCCAGATATCAGATCACATACTTACTAGAATATGAAATCGTATCCAAACATGCAGTCTTCCCGAGATCTGATGTCGTCAAAAATTGAAGGCGATACAGAAACAACCACTTCGGTCTCGCCAATCAAAAACCAAAATGAGTACCAATTTGAGCCAGCTAGTATACTGGCTTCTGATAGGCTGTCATCTTATGAATCAAAGCGAACCCTTGATTCGTATAGTAACGATAATGTGCATCCGCTATTGAATTCCGTACAAAATCAGCACAAGCATCGAAAGTATAATTCAAACGAGGAGCTACAAAGTTCTGAGGTAAAATACAATCTTGAATCATCCGACCATCCAGAAGTATTAGAGAATTACCCACAGCTGCTTGATGCTCAAAATTGTGGTCCAAGTGAAACTACTAATCCAATGGGCTCATTCGAAGTCTTTTTTAATTCAGATTCAAGTAGAAATGAATTGGTTGTGAAAAATCTAATAATAAGCTCAGATTATTTCTTGAATAAGGCACATGAAATAGTCCTTGATACAAACGCCGTTAATGGATCCAAGACATACTTCAAAATGATAAAACTTTCCATAAAATCCTTATTGTTATTGATCAAAAAGTACAGTAAATGTTTGAACCCTTATTTGGAGCTGATAATATATTTCAAATTAGCCAAAATTTATTTCACTGAAACTGAAAATTTAAACCGTGCAGATGATTATGTCAATAAGGCCATTTCGATTGCAACTCGAAATAATCTAATCAAAGTTAAATTCATATGTGAATTTTTGGCGGCACAAATACTAGAAAAATCAAACCCTAGATTATGCCTAAACTATATTAATGAGAGAATTGCCAATCTCCGAATGATTGGTCTTCATAGTCTTAGCAGCCTTTTTGCTTTGCTTAAAATAAATAATTTGCTATCCCAAGATCCGAATACAGGTTTTATTGTATTACAGTCATTATGTCAGGATCTTCAAATCGACGATACTACAAGATCATTGTGCTTCATATATCAGGCTAATTTGCATCTTTATAGAGGATCACCAAATTATTCATTAGAGCTATTGAATCAGGCGGAAAAATTGATGCATGGGCATGAAGGGAATTATCCTATTCAACTTCAAGCCATTTTATTGTTACTGAAATATTCCGTATACATTCAGATTGATGATAAATCAGGAAGCAAACATATAATGCAAAGTATTAGTGATTTCATATTATCAGAGCAACTGAAACATTGGAATAGTTGGAAGGAAGATGGTACCTTCAAAATGAATATTGCTATCCCGTCAAATAATGACATAAATGATGTATTGCCTTATCAAGTAACGTGGTTGAATTCTGATGAGTTTGTCATAATGTTTTATTTCCTAACTGGCGTTCACTTTTTGCCTGAAATATATATCAAAAAGTATAAATCAAAGAAGGTTTTTCAAAAATGCTTACAAATATTAGATAACCAATTGCAAGAACTAAAAGGAATGAGGACTAGTGAAAGGTGCTTCCCTTTGAATCAGTTGACTAAGAAGATAATAAGACTCAATTTTATAAAGTACTATATTAATTATTATCAAGTTTGGATGAATTTCTTAGACAAAAATTTTACTGGCATTGAGCCATTAAATGATTTTCTAGAAAGCTGTAATACAAATAAATTCAGCAATGAAGAATTATGTTACTATAAATTGTTGATTCCAAAAATTTTGTATTTATTTGGAATATTTTTTCAATACAAAGGAGATCTAAAGGCTGCGAAATACTATTATATGAGAGTACGAAATTTTACACTGTATGAACAAGATCCAAGTAAAGCAATAGAAAGTGTTTCCATTCTCCAATCTTCTCTAGGGTTTGGTGGTGAAATCTTCCAATCAAAAGAAGAATTTAACGAACTATATATTTATTCTACATTACATCTTGTGATGATTGCAGAATTTGAAGTTTATCGAATTTCCAATCTGGCTCATAACAACACCCAATTTACTAATGATAGAGATGACTCTTACAGATTTCGTTCTGTTTTGTATCAAGACTTGGCCAAGGTATTCGCTCAAAAGAATAAGAAGACTTCAAATAGCTTCAATATGAATCTAGCCGGATCAAGTCAAACTCTTACTATAACCTATAATCTACTCCTAAGTCTTTACGATACTAATTGTTCAGAGAATGATAGAATTAATTCCAAATCTTCTGATCATTCTCATGAAATCTTATCCGATGCAGTGAAAGATTCTAGCATTATAAATTCATTCCCATATTTAACTTCATTACTTCATTATGTTACCTATTTACTGTCCTCAAATGTTTCGGATAAAGATCAGGCCTTAGAAAAGTGTTTATCCCTAGCATCGACAGAAAATTGCTCAGATAATGAGAGAATTGTCAATCTTTTCATACTAAAAGATTATTGCTTACAATTGCATGATAAAGGTGACCATGATAAAGGCTCTTTTATAGAGACCCAAATGCGATACATGCATGATTTACTAAGAAGCAAGTTTCGATTTTTAAGTCTTGATAATAAAGATAGCCTGATCAATTAGCATAAAATTTTAATTTTATTTATTACATTTCGCCCTTTTAAAATTAAATGATATATTTTGCAAAAACTTATTATAAAGCAATATAAAATAAATGTACAGAATGTAGATGTAGAATGAAATCTATTAAAAAAAGAGCAGCTGACATTAAAAAGCAGGAAGAACACGATATAATCACGATGTATGCACTTATTTCTTTGATTTTTTCTTCTTCTCAGAAGATTCTTCACTATCGTCTGCCTTTCTCTTCTTATCTTTTTTCTCTTTCTTTTCCTTCTTTTCCTTCTTTTCTTTCTTTTCTTTCTTTTCTTTCTTTTCCTTCTTTTCCTTCTTTTCTTCTTTTTCTTCAGTTTCAACTTCAACTTCTTCAATTAATTTTTTAGGAGTTTGAATTTCTGGGGCTGCTAATTTAGATTCAGGAACTGGAGGAGCTGGTTCATCATCATGGTCCTTGTAGTCTTTCTTCCAAGTTTCTGGAGTATTTTCATTGGCTCTACCATATTTATCTAATTTACCATCAGCCTTTAATTGCTTTTTCTTTTGAGCAACTGGACCTAATCCCCATCTTCTTGGGTAAGTATCACGTTCCATAATACATCTCTTAACCTTAGCAACAACACCATGGTCACAACCTTGCAAATCAACAGTGGTCATTTGAGCAATTCCAATTGCAATTGCCTCACCCTTGGTAGTCATCAAAACAACTTCATCGTACAATTCAATACCTTCTTCATAACGCAATAAACCAGGAATCATTAATTTGGCACCATAACAGACCGAGTTGACAGCAGAATCTTTAACGACAATTCTCTTATAACCAACTAATAAAGTTTCTAAAGGTTGAATAATTTTTCTCAAATAGGATTCATCTCTGGTATTATCATACACGTATTGAGCATCCAAAACATCATGTAAAGTAACTAAGTTATCGTTTTCACTCAAAGCACCTGAACGAACACGACGTAACTCTTGCATATGACCACCAACTCCTAATAACATACCTAAGTGAACACATAAAGTTCTCATATAAGTACCAGCTTCACATGAAGCCCAGAAGACACCTAAACCTCTTTTGTTATCGAATTCAATCAAATTAGAATCATAAATGGTACGAACTCTCAATTGTCTCTTAACAGCAGAAATTAAAGGAGGTCTTTGGAATAAAGCACCAGTCAAATTTTCTAAAGATCTACCCATTTCTTTAGCATCTTTCAATTCATCATGCAATCTAACAATACAGACATACTCCTTACCTGCACCCTGTTGAGACTTGACTAATCTGGTAGCACGATCAATACAAACAATCAAACAACCAGTAACTTTAGGATCTAAAGTACCAGAGTGACCAGTTTTTTCACTTCTTAAAATTCTTTTAATCCAAGCAACAACTTCATGAGATGATGGATTAGATGGCTTATCTAAGTTTATAATACCTGAAGAAATGTACGATTTCAAATCTCTCTTTAATGGAGAACATCCGGATGGGATAGGAGTGTAGTGACCACTTCTAACTAATAATTTATCGTAATTCTTCAATAATAATGGCCATTCAGAAGTATCCTTTGAAGGAGCTACTGATTCTGGCTTAATGATATATTCGTCAGACATTACTGTAATGAAGTTTATTAAAGTATGAATGAGTCTCTAAATATTTAATTTTGATAATCAAATTTTCTATGAGAAATTTTTCGTTTTGAAAAAAATTGCATCGTGCGGCTTTTTATTGTGGCCATAAACAGTATTGTATATTGTAACTATCTATCTACGCAGCCATTAACTAGATAAACCCATAGAATTCACAGCAATCTCACGCTTCATTACCTCTAACCAGAATAATTCTCTTCCCAAACCTCTAACCGCTTTCACACATACATCCATCCTGCTATCGTTTATAATTTCTGATTCTGATTGGAAATTTCCACTTATCAAACTTATAGAATCCTTCGTCGCTTTGATCTCACTGGCAACATCATATAATTGGTTAACCAATGCCAGATCAGGCACAACCAAGTTATCTAATTCAAAATTACTCTTGCTATTAATTGACACCGTATTTCTTTGTTGGGAATTTAATCCATCTAATTGAATTAGCTCATTATTTAGGCTAGCTAAACTTGATACTTGGTTAGTTAAATATGATATATGATTCTCCAAATTTTCACCATTGGCGCATGCTTGTTGATTATGATGACTTAATTGTTGATATAACGCATCAATCTTTTTCGAGTTAGTGTTGACATCAGGAAGAAGGCTATTAATATTGTCTTTAGAAGTTTCGACTAAATTCTCATTTATGTTCCTTGATAGCACTTCTAGAGCCTCATGATATGTCTGATTGGTTACACTCTGCGTAACACTTATATCATCATTATCCATTAAATCTACTGTATTAATTTCTTGTGGTCTGGTTTGATATCTGTGTGGTTGAATAGTCTTATCGGGATTAACTCTATAATTTCTTTCTTGACTCAGCAAATTGCTTTGGTGGGTGTTTCTTTTTTCATTTTCTATTGGTACTCGTATTTCACGATCTCTCTGCGCATCTGCAGCGTTTCTTTCATTCGGCAATGGCAATGGAGATTGGTACTTTAGCGGGATAGGTGGTAAAGATGGTCCAGTATTCTGCCGTGATGCATTAGGCTCTTCGAGTGAATTATGGGACAATGGCACCGGCAGAGAATTTATAGGGATTTTGGCCGGTTTTTCGGGAATTTTATGGTTGTCCGGGCCAGTATGAACAGGTGACATATACCTTAGCGGCTCCTGATGAAAAATTGGCACATCTTTCAAAAAGGAAGTATGCAAGGTGCTAACCAACCGAAGTAAATTGTATTGTGATGGCTGATTATTATACTCACGGAACCAGCTAGAGAGGTACGGGTGATAAAACTTCCCTTGCGTATCAACATTATTGCCGGGTTTTATAAACCAGTTTTTTGAATTATCGGGAGTAATATAAACTATTGGTACTCCAATATCATCAGAACTATGGCCTGAAGCGTGGTAAGGGTAGTTCAAAGGGATCCAAATTGTCACAGGCACATTTAAATTCTGACCAACTTCTATTGATCCAAATAGATTAATCAATAAATTCGAATGACCCGTATTACCTGAAGTATAAACACTTGTTCTGATCTTGAAACCTTTGTTCAAGTAAACTTGTAAAAACTGGTATACATGAGTATATGTGAATTGCTTATTAGTGTATTGAGGTTGAATTACATTATATAGCCAATTGGCTACTGCCGAGGGTAACTCAGTCATGTATGGTGTATATATTATCTATTAAATGAATTCCCACCTAATCTAATTCTGTAATTTTGTGTCTCCGTTTTTATCTCACAATTTTGTTGATAGTTTTTAAGCAGGAACCAATCCGTTTTTTAATTAATATCAGTATTTCGCTTGTTTCAGATATAGTTGTTTAATATGAGTGGGTATGTATGGTTGTATTATCTATTGTATACTATCTTTGAATGGCACTAGTGCAATATGTGTACTATATGGATTTTCTAGTTTACAATAAATGAATAACACTTACTAACAATCGAAGATACACTGTTATAATTGCATTTATTCTTACCGCTGCTTTATCCACGTTAGCATGGATATTTGCTCCAAAAGAGAACACAACTGTTTGGAGATCTTCGGTGATTTTGGGTTTGTCAATGTGCTATTTGATGTGGGCAATTACCTATCTTAGTCAATTACATCCATTAGAAGCACCTAGAAGGTCGGATTTAAGGCCTGAAAAATAGAGGGCTGTCCTTGGAAATTAGATTGAATGTTGAAGCTTCTTCAAAGTGAATTATTTCGTTTGCTATTAATCTATGAAATTTTCCCCAGCATAACTCTTAATTCGTACACAATACTTTATTTTAAGATCATGCCCCTATCCTATCAGATTTAGGTGTATACTCTTATTTCGTTTTGATTGGATCCTATATATTACGCATATAAAATCACTTTAATTCTTATTCCAAATTTTATTAAATGAATGAACTAGAGAATACTACAACTTTTTTTTTTCTTACATTAGTACATTTGGGTGATCTTAAGATCACAAGAAATGAATAGAAACACTACAATTGCCTCTAGTTAAGTATTGTAATTCAATTGTATTCAAGCTTTCTATTCTTGTCAGGCCTTACAAGCCCACGTAACATTTAGCCTCTGATTAGGAAGTCTAGGGTTGCGCTAATTTACATCCGGGTAATATTTTATGAATATTGTGTCTGAAAATTTTTAACCTCTACTTATATAATTGTTCTTCTTTTAAATTACTTCAAGTTACAAGATGAAATAACCATTTCTAAATTTTTGATTGTTTAGCGTCAACGTTTATAATTTAATATATGTTCATTTCATAGAGAAAATTTGTACTAACATTTCAAAATGTTTTTAATTTTCAAAACACTCCTGTTTCTGCCTCAGATTCTTTATGTTTCCATAGAATTATGGGTTCTGTTTATGGAGAAGATCAAGCCTATTAACGGATCTTGGACACTTTTGATACAACCGTCCATGCTCTTTTAAGAGGATCGTGTGGTTAGATTTGCCCGTGTGTGATAAACTCGTAATGGTTATTGTTACCAAATGACGAAAAAATCTGGCAAGTCTCCACTACATATTTTTTAGGTAAATTTTACTTGTAGTTCTTGTGATTTTTATTACTATGTAAATTTTCCGTAAATGTTCCCATATCATGCATAATCAAATCCAATCGAATCTACATGACATAAAAAATGCTCGCTCGCATACTTAGCCGCATATAACTAAATGCTAAATGGTAATATAGCCAGAGTAGTATGAGCTCCCTCCTCTATTAACAGCTCATCGCAGCAATTGAATCGTTACGTCCCCTGTTCCAGTTGCCACAATTTTCTACCATTTGTTGTGAAGTTTTTTCCGTAATTAACGATTGTAATGCTTCACGTGCAAAGAGATATTTATAATCCAGAGTTTTGATACCGACCTTTTAGAAGAAAAAGTAATTAATATAAATTAAACGATTTCTTAATAGTTTTTACTGTTAGATTCTTACGAAACTCGAACTAAATAAGAAATTTTCGTAATGCTACCGAATTCAAAAGTTGAATCAAACGTTGAAGTGAATAATTCGCTATCAGATACCTCTAGTGAAAATACTGCCCATTTAAAAAGGAATCTTAAAAACAGACATGTTTCTTTGATTGCATTAGCAGGTATTATTGGTCCAGGTATTCTTATAGGTGCATCTTTAGCACTTAAAAATGGTGGTCCTGCAAGTTTAATCATTGGATTTGGTTTCATTGGTTTAGTTGCCTTTAGCATGATGCAATCATTAGGTGAATTAGCAACAATATATCCAACTGGTGGAGCATTTTCTACGTTAGGTAATAAATTCGTAGATCCCGCATTTGGTGGAACCATAGGGTGGAACTACGTTATTGTCTGGGTTGCCGTTTTAGCTAATGAATACAATACAGTTGGCTCCATATTGCAATTTTGGGGTCCAGAAGTGCCATTATATGGTTATATCTTGATTTTCTGGGCAGCCTTTTTAGCATTTCAATTTTTGGGAGTTGGGGCTTTTGGTGAAGCTGAATATTGGCTTGCCTTGTTTAAGTTACTTGGTTTGGTCATTTTCTACATATTTTCCATAGTTTATGTGGCGGGAGGTGTCAAAGGAAGACCAGCATTTGGGTTCGAGTACTGGAACAATCCTGGAGCATTTAGTGATGGTTTTAAAGGGGTAGCAAGTACATTTGTGTTTGCGTCTACTTTTTATTCGGGAACAGAATCTATAGCGATCGCTGCTGCTGAAACTAGAAACCCATCAACAGCTATTCCAAACGCAATCAAACAAACGTTCTGGAGAATTGTTATTGTTTATATGGGGATTGCTATTAGTTATGGAATGACTGTCCCTTATAATGATCCATCATTGACTAGTGGCTCAAAAACATTAAAGTCACCCATGACTATTGCTCTTGTCAGAGCTGGCTGGTCTCAAGCCGGTCACTTAATTAATGCATTCATCTTGATAACATGTGTATCTGCTATTAATAGTTCGATCTATATTGGATCAAGAACGATTGTTAATTTGGCAGCTGAAGGATTTGCACCTAAGATTCTCCGCAGAGTTAACAGACAAGGTGTTCCTTATATGGCAGTAATTTTAATGAATTTATTTGGTTTGATTTCTTTAATGAACATTAGTACTGGTGCTGCAGATGCATACGAGTATATTGTGAATTTATCAGGTGTTGCTGTTTTCATTGTTTGGGGGGCTGTCTGCTTTATTCACTTTAGGTTTCGTAAAGCATGGAAAATCCAAGGCAGATCTACTGATTTGATACCGTATAAGGCCTTATGGTATCCATGGTTAGCAATATTTGGTTTCTTTTTTTGTATATTTTTAGGTTTGGTACAAGGCTGGTCTTATTTTAAACCATTTGATGCTGCTAATTTTGTTGATAGTTATATTCTTTTACCTTTTTTTGTTGTGCTTTTCGTTTTCTTTAAAGTTGTTAATAAAACGAAATGGGTAAAACTTGACGAAGTTGATTTAGATGATGGAAGAAGACAAGACATCGACGTGAAAGAGGACATTGAAAGTGAGGAATAAAACTTATCGGCTTCTTTATCATTTTGTATTTATTTACTATTTAAGACTGCATTCTCTTCTTTATTTCAATATATATTATTTTCAAACAAAAGTTTTAAACCTTTAGGAAGTGGGTGCATTATAAACGAAGGTATTTTGAGATGATAAATTAAAACAGTTCTCCTAAAATATCCTAAAATTCTACGCAAAACTTAGAGATAACACATTTATGTCTCCCTTTACAGAAACAAAGTGATAGAATTGACGGTTCATGATATAAATATCGTCTTACCTTACTATATCAATATATATATATTTGGTAGTCTAACAACTGATAATTTAAAAATCTTAATTTGAATACTTCGATTAAATTCCATCAAATGATGTTTTGAAGGGTTTATTCTACAAATGTAGTTATAACAAAAAGTATGTCGAGTATTCCTACTCAATTCAATATTCGTTTTATGTTTTTTGATTTTTGAACAATTAATTTAAACAATATTGACATCGGTTTTGTACTAAAA